ATTCATCTGGAAGGAAGATAAAAAAGGATGATGTTTCGAGTAGATGAAGATGAGAAAAGAGTAAGAAGATAAGGTAAAAGAGAGATGAGTAAGAAATAAACAGGAGATGATGATAGACAGGGATTAATAAATGAGAACTATTTCAATTCTCTCAAAGTATTATAGTTACAAGAGAGAGAAGAATCCATGAAAATATAGTTTGGAGCAATCAACTATTTTCCGCCACACGACAATTTCATGAGCTCCCCTTTCCACAATCTTCAGATGTAATATCAAGCTAGTGATCAAAGGAACAACAAGCCCTTTATGTTGAAGTTCAGAGGTGGAGGCTCCAAAATCTCACCAGAACTATATGTTAAGAAAAATAATCCTAACCCATAGTTTGTGAGATGCAAAAATAATATATAGAGAACAACACAAACAAGAACAGCAGATTTATGTGATTCACACGAACTAGGGCTATGTCTACGGAGTCGCAACGATTTTACTATGATGAAAAGCAAAAAATAATTACACAGAGATCACAAATAATAGTCGTCCCCCACTTTACTTATATAGAACTAGGGTGTTAGATGACGTGGCATTCACATCATAATCAATGGCTCAAATTTTGGCTCTTAGTTTTCACCAGCTCACTTATTCGTGGACCGCAAGTCATGATATTCATATGGAAGTTTGCCAACCCACTATGGAATTTGTGCCAGCCATTGATTGGTTCAAGCTACCATATATATATATATATGATATATATGCTAATTTGTTGGCTGGTCTTATTAACAAAGGAAACTAATGATATTAGTTTCAATTTACGGCTCATATAGCTATATAATATAGTTGTATCATTGTAAGGAAACAAATTTGATTGATTGGCATGATCAGTTGACCTTTTTCGTTATACTTGGGCACCAAGTATTTGTTTGGCTATAAATAGCTTTGTTTGTTATTCAATTGAAGATCATCCGAAATTCGAAATTGAGTGAGTTGTATCAATATCAGTATTGAGTAAGAGCTTGTGGGTTTAATTGGGTTTTGGGTGTGGGCCACTTTGCTCTGTATCTTTTTATTTCTATAGTGGAATATTGTTATGTTTTCTCCCCGTGAACGTAGGCCTATCAAATCACGTAAATCCTTGTCTTGTTTGTGTGTATGTTATTTTATCTTCTTGTCATTTATTTTTTCTTGTTCTCATAAACTCCTATTCGATTCTTATTTCATAATAAACTGGTATAAGAGCTTTTTTGGGGAGTTTTTTGAGATGTTAACAAAATACGCGATTGAGAAATTTGATGGCAAGATTAGCTTCAGTCTTTGGCGAATTAAAATGCAGGCCCTGCTCACTCAGCAAGGTCTAAAGAAGAAGATGTTCGGAAAGAACAAGTTGCCAAAAACTATGTCCAATAAAGACAAGGATGAGGTCGATAAAAAGGCGCACAATGTGATTCTTTTGAATCTAGCTAATGAGGTGCTGCGTGAAGTTATTGATGAAGACACGGCGGCAAAGTTATGGTTGAAATTGGAAAGTCTGTATATAACGAAGTCTCTCACCAACAAACTCTACTTGAAATAGAGACTCTACACCCTTCGTATGAAGGAAGGTATGCCTCTTAAGGAGCATATTGATAATTTCAATTCTATTCTTATGGATTTGAAAAATACTGATATTAAAATTAATGACGAGGATCAAGCCCTTATTTTGTTATGTTCTTTTCCTCCTTCCTATGAGCATTTTGTTACCACATTGTTCTATGGAAAAGACACTATTAGTATGAAGGATATTAAATCCTCATTGAACTCTCAGGAGTTGAGGAAAAAGGTGTTTGAGAATATTGGAGATGAATAGGTCGATGGTCTATTTATAAGAGGCAAAAGTGAGACAAAGGGTTCTGGTAGTAGGGGCAAATCTAGATCTCATAAAAATTTGGAATGTTACTATTGTCACGAGATAGGGCACATCATCAGGCACTGTCCCAAACTAAAGGCAAAGAATGGGAATGGCAAAGAGAAGGTTCAAGAAGCAGCTTTTGCGGCAGCTGCTACAACGAGTGATTCGGAAAGTAACGAATATGTTCTTATGACAACCTTGTGTTCAGGTATGTCATTTAATGACAGTTGGATTCTTGATTCTAGTTGTTCCGTTCATATGTGTCCCGGTAGGGATTCTTTCTCCTCCTATAAAGAGGTGAAAGGTGGTTTGATTTTGACGGTGGACAGGAAAGCTTTCAAAATTTTGGAAATTGGAACAATCAAGATCAAGACGCACAATGGGTTGATGAGAACATTGTCAAATGTGCGACATGTACCGAATCTGAAAATGAATCTTATTTCAATAGGTGTGCTAGACTCCAAAGGTTACAAGGTTGTAACAGAGGGTGGAGAAATGATGGTCGTGATGGATTCTCTTGTGATGTTACAGGGCACCAAGGTGAAAAATTTGTATCCTCTCCAAGGAAATACAGTAGCAGGTGGAGCTACTACATGATCTTCTACACTTCGCATAAAGCTGTATATAGGTCTTGGCAAAGGAAGAGTTAGAAAGAGGAGTGACGATCCTAGTTCTCAAAAAAGTTGTGAAGGGACTACACAACTTGATGGGAGAATGAAATCCGTTTTCATATAGCAATCGAAATTGCAACAGTCTTTACAGGGAGGTAGACCCATGAGGATAGGTGTGATATTAACTTGCAATAATCTTGGTGGCAATGAGATAATCCATTCGAGCGCCATTAAGATACGTGGGAGGTAAGTAGTTGCTCACAATAGAGATGCAAGAAAAAGTCAAGGACGTCCTGTACTCTACAAGGGTGAGAAGATGACTTTTCATTACGAACCGGTGGTTTGTGGGCGGTTGAAGAAGATTGTTGAAGGAAAGAGTTTCTAAGGTTGTTTTTGGTAAGCGCTTAGAGTTGGACAGAAATATTGGAGGTATGCTTGTGGCTGTGCAAGACATGCATGGGTTGAAGAATGAGAGCCTAAGGGTTAAGTTTTAGGATGACTCAAACTTATCTAAAATTCTATATAATTTGTTTTGTGGAGAAGACGTGTTGTTTGGCAGAGATACAGTGGCTTATACAAAATTTTCGCAAAGGTGGAGATTTGTTAGATGACGTGGCATTCACATCATAATCAATGGCTCAATTTTTTGCTCCCAGTTTACACCAGCTCACTTATTCGTGGAGCATAAGTCATGATATTCATATTGAAGTTTGCCAACCCGCTATGGAATTTGTGCCAACCATTGATTGGTTCAAGCTACCATATATATATATATATATGTATGCTAATTTGTTGGTTGTTCTTAATTTCTTATTTACAAAGGAAACTAATAATAGTAGTTTCAATTTACGGCTCATATAGCTATATAATATAGTTGTATCATTGTAAGGAAACAAATTTGATTGATTGGCGTGATCAGTTGACCTTCTTCGTTATACTTGGGCACCAAGTATTTGTTTGGCTATAAATAGCCTTGTTTGTTATTCAATTGAAGATCATCCGAAATCTGAAATTGAGTGAGTTGTATCAATATCAGTTTTGAGCGAGAGCTTATGGGTGTAATTGGGTTTTTTGGATGTGAGCCACTTTGCTTTGTATCTCTTTATTTTCATAGTGGAATATTGTTTTGTCTTCTCTCCGTGGACGTAGGCATAGCCGAACTACGTAAATCCTTGTCTCTTTTGTGTGTGTGTTATTTTATCTTCCTGTCGTTTACTTTTCTCTTGTTCTCATAAACTCCTATTCGATCCGATCCTTATTTCATAACATAGGGTTACAGAAGCGCGCCCCGCCCCCCCCCCCCCCCCCCCCCCCCCCCCCGGCGGGGTCTGCCTCAGAATCTGTTTTCTTTTTTGAAATGGCTGCTCTTATGGCCAACCTTCTAATAGTATTGTAGCCATTTTTGAGACTGTTTTCTTCATTGTTGTTGTACTATTAACTTTTTTTCATTTTGTCTAATAATTTGGTGGATCATACCTGTTTTATTTATTTAGTATTTTAAGATCGGAAGGCTCCCACTGTTGTACCATGGAGGTTAGAAATATTTGTTTATGGAGAGAAACAAATGGTTAATATTTCCATTTGTGTGGGCAGTGGTGATGTCATTGTTTCTGAAGCTCATATATATGAAATAACACATATAATGGTTGTTACCATATTAAATAATTGATCAGTTGGAAGCGACCCTGTAATTTTAGGATCTATTTTTTGGTACAATTTGATTAACCTATGTAGCACAGTGTGTCGGGTAGAGTGCTGGTGAGACACATGACCACCAATTTTGAAAAATAAGATGATTTTCAAAGGCATTACACGTGTTGTGCGTATGTATTACAGTGGAATTAGACTTAAAAATACAGCCGCGTTACCTGTTTACTTTTTTGACTTGTTAGCAACCACCCTATCACTACTTCTCCATGTAACCCATGTCCAACTAGCTAGTCATGCCTTTAGTTACAGGACCTCAGCAGGTACTGATTTCATCTAACTGATTGGTGGTGGGCTTTAGAATCTAACGTCTGTTATATGGATTCTTCTACGTGTGTGAGGTACCCCTGTTGAACATACAACACTTGGCTATGGGTACGGGATTGTGTTTAATATGTCTGTTTGGATATGCACCTAGCAAACGTAACTGCTCATTTAAGCTCACTATTAGCATACAAAACTCTTGTTAAGTTCATTTTATCCTAAAAACAAAAGAGATATATATATATATATATATATATATATATATATGGATAGCAATGATGTACTAGTCATTAACCAATTCTTGCAACCATAAAGTTGGAAGTGTGAATCCATGCTATTATGAAACTTGTCAGCTCAATATTTATAAAAAATTAAAATTAAAATTAAGTAGTAGATTGATTGGACGTTTGTTTTCTTCTTTAAGCTGTGTTTATATATCATCCATTTTTTCTTGTTTTCTTCTGTAAGCAACTTTGATGCTTCACTACTTTTTCACTAGTTCACAAAATTCTCACATCGGATTGTATGTTGAACAGGTGCAATTAAACCTTAGGGTAAAGGCTTTTCTGTATAATGCAACTGAGGCTTACTACAAGTGTAATTTGGCTGATGGCCCTTGTAAATTGAAACTTTTTTTCCCAGAGGGAAACGCTGCTGTGTTAACATCTCCTGGTCCAGAACAGGTTAGTCTGTTAGTAGAATTGCTTGCAAAGGAAACATTCTTAAAGTCAACAACAAATCCATCCTAGTAAGTAGTACCCTATATTGCCATTGTCTTCACTGGGAAGCTTAAACATCTAGTTTTCCAGTCCAAGTATTTAACAATATCTTTTATACAAAAATCTCAATTCTGAATTTTGAGGTTTCAGATAATACCCCATGACAATTTAGACAATTGGTAGGAGGATGGAAACAACTAGTGTTCCCTGCCACTGTCCCAAATATGATATGCATCCATGAGTGGATGCTTCTCTGCCTCTCAGTGATGATACACCCAATTTTAAATACATGGGGACCGTCATACATTCCCAATTTTATTAATCCAGCTACATGTTTCTTTTAGCACAATTTGTATCTTTAGAGATTGTTTAGGACATATATTGGTTGGTTTTGAGCAGAGATTCTCTCAGCCACTAAAAATGAGTTTTCCATGGAACTGGAGTAGCCTATTCAATGGCTGGTTCGAACCTTATGTTCTAAACATAACACGGGGATTCAGTAGGACTCTTTTATCCTTTCCTTCAGAACTCCATGCATTATATGTTTTTCAAATTTCTTCCATACGAATTCAAAATTTACATTAAATTGAGGTTCTTATTGGTTCTTCCAGGGTACATCCAGTAACGAGTGGCATGTTAAACTGTCCTATGGACCTCGATGGATCACATATATTATCGGCACAGGTATACTTTCCCCGCCATTTCATTCTCAAAACAGAAACTCAGTATATCGAGTTTCTAAGTTTTCATTTTTTCCCTCTTGTAGGTGGAATGACCATCCTCATGTTATTGGCATTCCACATCTTGAACAATTTCCAGTGCAACCGTGAAGTTGGAACTAGAGCACATTTTGGGGATATGGGATCTGAGAGAGCTCCTTTGCTCTCACGCAAAGATGATGATCTCTCAAGTTGGGGCTCATCTTATGATTCTGTCTCAGACAATGAAGATCCTGAAGATGGCCTGGCTGTGGGTTCACTTGAAGGAAAGCCACTGAAAGACGGTGAATACAATAGTAATATCCGGCGTCTTTGTGCAATTTGCTTTGATGCTCCTAGAGACTGCTTCTTCCTTCCATGTGGGCATTGTGTGGCTTGTTTTGCATGCGGAACAAGGTAACTACCATCTGCCCTCACCTTTAACACCAAATGGAGTTTTTGAAATGCTTCACCTCAATGCATTTCCGTCAAATTAGGGAAGACAGTGGAGCTGTGCCATCCCAACATTGAACATGTTGAAAATTATTCTGCCCTGAACTAGGGTTGGATTTTAAATGTGACAATGGGGTTTGGTGTGGCACATATAACACATGAATGAAAACTAAAAAACATGATATTTAAATGGTTGCATGGAATATATTGATGAAAGGCATGTGGAAAAACCATATTCTGTCACTGGATAAGAAAGATAATAAATCATATACCAAAGCTGAGAGAGATTTCAAATATATTACAATAATAATCTTATATGGTGCTTTAATAACTTGCAAGAATGTCACGATCGAAGCATTGTTTGACCTGCCCTCTTGAAATTTCAAATCGATATGCTGCAAAGTGCAACTTTATTGTAATCTCCACAAATTGCTTTTATGTGGTTTCCATTTTGATGTAATGGTAGCCAATGTAGTTTTTAAATGTCATTGATGTACGACTTAATACGATACTGCAGGATTGCAGAGCTGGCAGGTACTTGCCCCATCTGCCGTAGGAACATGAAGAAAGTGAGAAAGATTTTTACGGTTTGACCAACATACAGAATTTTCTTACACGGGTGCTTCTTGGTTGAGTAACTCACAAAATGGACTAATTGTGTTTACACCATTGCTCTTGTGCTGGAGATAGTATTTGATCACGGAATTTATAGATAGGTGATCAAAATAGTTTTGCAAAGTAGGATGGTAGAGCCTTTTGTTTTTTACATGTATCGTGAGTTGATCACTTTCTTTTTCTTCTTTCCCCTCCGTTATGGTTTATGTATATTTGTTCAAAAACAATTTGCTCCAAAAATCAACACTTTTTTCCCTTTTTTTTTTTTTTTTTTACATCTCCAAAAACCAACTTGTTGATTATCATATTGGCTGGATTTATATCACATTTTGGTTATTGAATCGAGTGTTCCTTATTATCTGACCCAATGATTGGGCTCCACACTGCATGTTGTTGTTTGAATCCAGCTCATGGAATGATGGAATGGCCTAATTAAATGTGTTTTTTTATGATTAAAGTCATCTCATCTCTTCATGTCCTTATTGCTTGCTGAAATTAAAGCTCTTTACTTTCAAAGGTGAGAATGCTGATTTGTGAAAATAATAATAAAATGTTAAATCCGTGTCTCTGAATGCAGTCTATACCAACTAAAAACCATTCTAGTCTCAAATAATGTCAAAACAATAAAAAAAAAATTCTAATTTGGATGTTCATGTTTTTCTCAAAAGAAAAGCCAATGATGGAACGAGGTTGAGTTTGGAATCTTTGGATGTGCAAATATATATATGTACGTATCATATATATGTATTGTCCTTCTGGAGACATATTTGAAGACAAAGTTCTGCCAATTTGAAAACGCGTTGAAATTATACCCCAACTTTTTTTATTTCGAGTCGTGGGGCCATGCTGTAAGAATTTCAGAATGGATTCATTTTTTCTTTTCATTACCAACAAAAAATCAGCAGCGGGGATAGCTCAGTTGGGAGAGCGTCAGACTGAAGATCTGAAGGTCGCGTGTTCGATCCACGCTCACCGCATCCTATTTTACTTTTTATTTCGCTTTAATTTACCCAAAAAGCCCTTCAACTTTTAAGTTTTTGCCCCATGGTACTTTAAATTTAGCAAGAAACCCCCTTTGAACTTTTACTTTTTTTGTCTCTTGTACTCTAAATTTAGCAACAAAGTCCCTCAATTTTCAGAAAAGATTGAAATCTTCCTCCCTGCTGTTAACTGGGCTCCGTTTGTTTCGACATAAAATATTCTTTTTGAAAAATATTCTGTTTTTTTTTTTTATAGGTAAAATATTTTTTTATTTTTACTTTATCGGTATTTGATAAAGATCTACGTCAAGGTTGAGATCGAGTTCATCAGGCGGGACATGTAAAATAACTTGTCGAAAATTAATTAATAAGTTATTTTTGTTAAATTTTAATATTTTTTTTCTTCTTAAATATTTTACGACAACCAAACACCAAAAAATAAAAATATATATATTTTTATAATATATATATATATATATATATATATATATATATTTGAAAAATAAAATGTTAATTATTTAAAAAATATTTTACTTGTAAACAAACGGAATGTTAAAAATTTGACTTCACATGCATTTTACAAGACGAATTAGTTGCTATAAAATTTTCCTATTTACTATTTAAATTGCCCAAAATGTCCTTATAATTTATCTATGATAGAATGTATACGGTACTAGAGTACCTGACTGATTTATTACGGTACTATTCTGTTCTTTGCTCATTTTCTCAAACATCTCTTTGTAAAACTACCTCATAATCTCTCCTCTCCTATGAAATCCTCTCTCTTAGCCCACTTCACTGTATCTTTTTATCTAATCAATGTAACCTTCAAATAAACACAATGGCCTTCCATGAGAAATCACAAAAATCCAACAAAAGAAATAGAACCAATGACCTAGATCCCTAAACAAATCGACAACAATTCTTTTTTGAGATTTTTTATGCTTGAGTGATTTTACTGAAGCTTAATGAATTTGATTTTTTTCCTATAAAACTCACTTTGCCGTGTGTGCAAGAGTGAGAGAGAGCCCAAAACAAAATAGTGAAAGAATAATTCTATCAGGGCTAGTTTGGTACACTAGAATGGGCTGGAATGGAATAATCATTCCAACTTCTCATTCATTTTGTTTTGTTTGGTGTGCCATTTTAAAGGTGGAATGACTATTCCAACTCATTCCCTGAGAATGCTCGTTCCATCAAAAAGTTAAAATGGTCATTCCTCTTCTTGAGTTGTGGAATGCCTATTCCATTCCCACTTAGAATTAATAAAGTAATTTAACAACAAAAAAGACCACTTACCTTCAATTCACACAGACTTTTGCGTCTCCTCTCTCACCATCTCTCTCTTCACACATACACACACTATATAATATGTAATATCTATAATACGTATTTATATGCAATTTGTTCCCTCTCTTCGATTTACACACACAAGGATGAAACGAAGACAGTGTAATTGAACTTCTATGAGCTTATGTGCTCTGTTTTGCAACTTTCTTAGTCATTGTTTAGCAATAATTATTTATTTATTTATTAGTCTCTAATGTTATGATAATTATGGTCTTCATCTGTTGGAGAAAAATGAAAATGTCATGTATGTTGTCTTCGGAATCCAATTCCATCACTGGGGACCCGTCCTTTTGGAACGAGCTTATGGCATTGGGTCATTACTTTTTTGGGTGTGCAGGACAAAGACAATTTAATAGGAAAATTTCCATATTTTATCACAATAAAGGATCTTTTTTTTTTTTTTTTTGGATTTTATCTTTCTTCAATATTTTCTTTTGAAAAATCACAAACATATTTGAATTTGTAAAAGTATACTATTAGGAAGTCCATCAAAATATTAGTTCATTTTTTAGAAATATTTGTGGATCCGAGATTTTGGTACATTTGTCTTGCATGTATAAGATAATTATATATTTTTTTCATTTTATGAAAATACATTAGTTGGTTTGGAGAAACTAATTTAAAACTAATTATATAAAAATGCATTAGTTATATTTTATTCTATTTTACTAATAACAATATCTCATTCAATATAAAGTAAGGGTATTTTGAAGAAATTAATTTAAATATTATTCTAGTTCAGCTTTTTATTTAGACTAACCAAACAGAGGAGAATGGAAATGGTGATTCCATTACGTGTTAGCAGCCAAACAGTGGAATAAGAATGGTCATTACATTCCTACATCATTTATACTTGCATTCCATTCCTGTCCCATTTCATTCATGCACACCAAACTAGCCTAGGATTTGTTTGAGAATCGTCTCTGTTTTGCATTTTCTTTGCCAATATTTTTAAAATGATAATTTATTCGATTTAATGGTAAAAATTTGGATTTACGTACATGAACGAAATGCAATTTTAAAAAATAAGGAGATGCAGTAGGAGAAGCGCAAACCAACGAGTGCATGAAATGGGCGAGCATAAGAAAATTAAAAAATGCAATAGCAAACTCGAATTAATAAGCTTGAGAAGAGGCAACGTTAAAAAGCTCAAACTATTGAGCCCATGTGAGTTCGTTGGATTGCTTATTCTTGTAAATTCAAAATTGTATAGAAAGCTCGATTTGATTTCAATTGTTTTTCTTGATTAGTACGTAGACAATATTTTATTAATAATTGTTTTTGTTCTCTTTCTTAATCTTAATCTTAATCTTAATCAAAGTTCCCTGTTGGTGTTAAAACAAATAAAAAATACAAATATCACACAACACTACACCATAATATTAGGACAATTGTATGATAAAAAATATTTAATTTAAAATTATTATATTAACAATTTAAAGTATTAATTATATCATTAATTTAAACACATAATACGAGATAAGATAAAATTAAAGAACATGATAGAATCCTCATCCAAAAAATGTGACCTTCCTCAAATCTCATTTTCTTTTTCAATAGGCATTTGAGAATGTCATATCAACAGATATTTGGTTTGTGTATTGGGCTAACAACGTCATGATTAGGTGTGAACAGTAGTAGTTAGCTTTATAATCAATTGTTTTTTTGTCAATCTCACGATTAAGTGCGAACCGTTAGGCTAATATCCCCAATATTTTTTCAATGTCGGTGTTCTGAAATTGAGTCATCGACCAATAGCAAGACTGCCTACGACTCCTTTTAATAAGGGTAAATGTTGTTGTTTGTTTGTTTATTTATTTATTATTATTATTTTTTAAAAGGATAAATGTTGTGTCCCTTTTAAGTGTCTCTTTCTATGTTCCAAAAGCAGAAGACAAATTTACTTTTGTGCCCATCAGTTCAGGGGACAAAAACGGTAATTTAGTGGGGCCTTTTCGTCTATTGCTTCACCGATGGCCCACACAATTATTACACCTGGAAGGCTGGAAGTGCTATTGGGACATGCTTTACTTGGAAGCCGAATTTACTTTTGTGCCCATCAGTAAGGGGACAAAAAGGTAAAGTAAGGGGATTTTCCGTCGATTCTTCCACTGATGGCAACTTATAGATTTTCGGACACTTGATTTACTACTGTACCAAACAATCATTCCTTTTAAAACAAAACTCACATCATGATACCTTCCCAAAAAAACAAAAAAAACAAAACTCGCATCATGATCTTTGTAAAGAACTCGTAGTCTTGAAATTAGACAATATTTACCCAATGTGAAATAACACGTCTTGTTCAACTTTTTCCTTTATATTAGAACAGTTACAGAGAACCAGCACTAAATGATAGCTTTTAAGTTGGTGGATCCTACCATCTAAATGTGCCCGAACCACGGAATAGAAATATCTTGGTATAGCTGGATGCATGGTTCGTCCATTATGATTGCATTTGCACATGGGTCCCAAGAATTGAATTTTATGCCTCATACAAAAGTGAACATGAATCACGTTACTCACGTGACCGAGAAATATTAAGTGCGGTTGTGACAATGTAATATCAGTTTTTAAATTTATAAATTTTACTGTGTGAACCACAAGATTCAGGTGTCAACTTCCATACCACAACTATTACATTCTTTTAATTATAAGTCCAATTTTTTACTTAATTAATTTTAATTGAATTTTTTTTTTTTTAACAATATTTCAAAATCAAAAGCAGTGATACTCTGGTGAGTGGTCAGCGTCTCATCTAACTTTGGTTGGTAATATCGATGAACTGACCATGGTCTACTTGGTGCTAAATAACTGGCTGACTCAAGTTGAATAATAACCGTTGATCATATAGGACGCATAAAAATCCGAAGGATGATATCTCTCTACGCAATGTTGACTATTGACGCTCCACTTTACGATATGTCAGCGTCCAACGAATTCCATCGACTCTCTAAAAAAATCAAGCACCAACATGGAGTATATATGCTTCTCAAACTATGCTGATTGATGGTGGAATTAGCCATGTCGAAACAAACTTACAGAGTGTGTTTATGTTTCACGAGGAGGTATAAGCTATCGGTAGCTGAAGCTCCATCAGAGATCAAAGAACTGTTTGAGCGTTACTCGGAGAATGGGATCATGACCGTTGATCAACTTCACAAGTTCATGATCGAAGTTCAGGGAGAAGATAAAGCTACCAAGGAGGACGCAGAGGCCATCATGGAGAAACACAAACACCTCAGTGTTTTCCACCGGAAGGGTCTCAATCTCGAAGCCTTCTTTCGCTACCTCTTTGGTGATGTTAATCCTCCCCTATCTTCTCATAAGGTATATATATATATATATATATATATATATATACGAATCTATATCAACATATATATTTATACATTATGCACTTATATATATATGGCCTTGATAATACCAAATTAATGGATATATGTGTATATATAAATCATATGAATCTGTTCGATACCGAGGGCCTTGTGGTGGGTGTACGAGTTGTTTTGCCAATGGAAAAAAAAAATAAAAAAAAATCTGAATGTGCCAATGAATCTGAATCTATGTGTTTTGTTAGGTTGTGGAATACACCGCACAAGTGTTGTACGTTTGTACCGCATCGAATGACTTACTAGCATCACACGTATAATAGTGTGTGTGGGGTTTGTTTGTTGTTGAATGCGGTACAACACATGACTATAGACAAAGTCTAGGTATTACTATATACATGTATTTACATGCTTGAGTTAATTGATAACAGTGATAGACCTATTTTTAGACGAATTTTAGTTTAGATATATGTATGTTATGTATATGATTGTCATCGATTATTATCTATGTTTTAATCTCGGATATATGGATTTGCACATACATACATGTATCTATATGCTTGTATATATATATATTCATAGTCATTATATATGTGTGCAATACTGTACACACGAATACACACACGCACACATATATATATATATATTATATGAATATATGGGGTGTGTATGTGTGTTATGTTGTCAGTCCATGGTCTCTGAAACAGAGCAGGCTAAGTCGCATTGGGTTTGGCTGTTTCTTCTGCATCCCTCGTGTCATATCACATAACGTGTCAATTTTTACTGCACCGTCGGGGCCCCGCCCCATCCCGCCCCATTAATAACGGATATGGGAACACTTTTTATACCGTTTGGGGCGGACATGGATACAAATTTTGTATCCCTCGAGGATCACGGGGCGGGTAAGGGTTCAGTATACATATCCTAGGGGCTCCGCTCCGCCCCACATATATATATATATATATATATATATATATATATTAACAAGTTATTTTAGCGGCTTACCTAATTACTCATCTCTTACAATCCTAATTTGGGATGTAAACTTGGTATTAAATTTACTTTTGTTTTGGTTATGGTGGAAGTTGGAGCTTAGAACTTCTTGTGATTTGGTTGTATTAAATTTTTATTTTTGTTTATTATGTTTTCTGAATTATGGTATGTGCATGTTATTTTTTTATTTTTGTTGGGATACATAATTTTATTTATGTTGTGTCTAGGCTTTGCACATTTAAATAGCATGAGTTTAAGTTCAAAAAATTGGGAGAAAAAAATTTGTTAGCAGAGCGGGCACGGGGGCACAGTATTTTCTAACGGGGCGGGGCTGAATATGAAAATCCAACCCGTTGCGGGTCTCGGGGCGGGTATGAACTTGACAAAAATTAAAAGGGGTAGGGCGGGATTTAGGGAAACCCGCTCCAAAACCGTCCCGTTACCATCCCTAATCACATATCCTACTTTAGATAGGTCCTTTTTATCGCGGATATATTGTGAAATTTTTTATTATTACATTTTATATTTCTAAATTTTTATATATATATATATATATATATATATATTTGTATTTATACTCATAAAATTTTAAAATTATCTCCATTAAAATTATAAAATAATTCCTCAATATAAATTTACCACCGAATTTCTAGATCTGTCCTGCCTCATAGATTATTTTATTACTACTGGCATGGTGAAACATTATCCATTTAGTTGGCTGATTTTTGTGCGTATATGTATCTATCTATTTATCAATAATCTGTCTGTGTGTATATACACACGTGTCTCCCTCTCTATACACACACATACTAACAAAGTCTTTACGCAGTTGCATCCATAGCCTCAGAGACTGTGGATGTAGACATTCTCATAATTTTATCGAATACATTAAAAACTGGGATTTTCTTGAACAGTAAAGCCTCCACCTACCTCAATAAAGGCATAATTTTTGGACATGTCACATGTGCACCAATCCATTACGAGTGATTAGGACCCATCTCAATGTTTCGTTCAGGACTTCCTACCCTAATTGATATTTCCATTGTTGTCCTGAAAAGCTTTTGCAGTACTTAGCAAATTTGCAGCTATATAATTTTCGTGATTTATTAATATACAGCTTTGGATTATGGATTGAGACTAAAATCAGCAAATTATTAAGTATCATCTAAAATATTTTTATGGGTAATAGTGATATGAGCATTTTTCACAGCAGTTCTTGCACCTCTGACTCCATCTATAACCTGTAGTTACAAATCCCTTTTTACCCTGTTCGTAGTTTCATTTTGCAATTTTCATACATATATCTCGCTTCGATAAATTTTCCCTTTTTAGATTTCCAACTCAAATCTGTAATAAATCTGCATTCTAAACAAGTTAATAGCTGCAAAAGAAAAATTGATAGTGGTTAAAAATTTATTTGATAGCAAATGTAATTTGCATATTGGACTTCATATTACCGTATTATGCGTCCTTGATTTTGTTGTTGAAGAACCTTTCTTGTACAAATTGATATGTTATATCACAATTCAGTCAGGCATTGGCGATGGTAAAAGAGTATATTCATTTTACCATATTTACATCTTCCTTGCCCTCACTGTCAATTGGCATATAAGTTCATTTCTTATAAGATAAGCTTAAGGGTGGGTAGGAGATAGTTTTTCTACAATTTTTTCCTCATTGAGAGGTCTTTTTGTTGAACAAATGTATCCCTATTCACTTTTCTGACAGATTAAATTGGTAAAACAAGCTGGTAATTATTGTGAATGTAAACCTTTGGTTATGCTTAAACTTGTTTGAGTAATACATTTTTCGGCTTGTTTTTTAATATTCCAGGTGCATCATGATATGACTGCTCCATTGTCCCATTATTTCATATTTACGGGTCATAATTCGTATCTAACTGGGAATCAACTAAGCAGTGACTGTAGCGATGTTCCCATCATCAAAGCTCTGCATAGAGGTGTAAGAGTGATTGAACTGGATATGTGGCCTAATTCCACCAAGGATGATGTGGATATACTTCATGGAGGGTATTGTCCGACACCAAATCATATTTTGTTAAACAAAGTATTCCTTTCATTGTATTCTTCATTCCTTTGACTAATAAGGTGAAATGTCGTGATGTGGTAAGAAGGATGGTAAGAAAAAGGAACAGAGTGATTTAAGAAGGAAAAAAAAAAATAAATAAATAAAAAATCTCTACCTTGCTTAGAAACGAACGCACTCTCTTTGTTGTACTATTTCAAATGGAAAATTTTAACCATCCTTGCCATTATAACAGAGAGTCCGTTTTATGGCTAAAGACATGCTTTTTCATGTTTAACCGATTGATTTCTTGAATGCTCAGGGTTTTTTGAAAACTTGCACCAGGATTGAATCAGTTGAAATCCTGAATATATGAAATTATTCACAATTTTCTTGTCAAAATATAGATCCTTTGTTTAGTTAATGTTAGCCTTTTCTCTAATGCTATTGATTCCAATATCATCATGCTTTCAACTGTAATCACCACGAAGCTAATATAATTACTATTAGGAAGACAAGAGAGGACCATTTAACCATCTCAATAAGTGAGACCAATCAAGTTGAACCTAATATAATTCTTCTCTAAAATTCATAGAACCAAATCATAGGTCAACAGAACTAAATTCAGATCAGCCCAGCTCATGTACTAGTCTTAATCGCTACATATATTTTACTTGATAAACTAGTCTAATTTGTAAAAAGAATATAATGATCTGATAGTGAAAAGAGAATGTAACTATTTAATACAAATCTGATCAAGACATCACAAAAATGGTGTGACAGAAATTGAACATCAATCCATTTGCTTTATTAATTTATTTCCCGGCTTCCCCCCTTAAGGCTTCATTATTTTACTTGCTAACTATATATATGTTTTATGGTTTTTCAATGATATTGCATTTTTATTGCTTAATTTTATTTCTACAGTTATAAATTTTATTGACATATGTAGGACACTAACTACCCCAGTGGAACTCATCAAGTGCTTGAGTTCTATTAAGGAACATGCCTTCGTTGCATCAGAATATCCTGTTGTATTGACTCTAGAAGACCATCTTACTCCCGATCTTCAGGCTAAAGTTGCTGAGGTGAGTTTATGCTTTCATTTTGAATGCAAGTCTATTCATGGTCTAAAAAGTTATAGTATGACAATTGCAAATTATCGTATTTCATAGATGGTCACGCAAACTTTTGGAGAACTACTGTTTTCCCCTGGGTCAGAATGCTTAGCGGAATTTCCTTCACCAGACTCATTGAAGAGAAAGATCATTGTCTCAACAAAACCACCAAAAGAATATCTTGAAAGTAAGAGTATTAAGGAGAAGGATGGTGATTTACAGAAGATAAAAGATTCGACTGAGGAAGAAGCCTGGGGAAAAGAAGTCCCGTATTTTAATGATGATTTTGAAGCCTTTGACAAGGTACTTTGTTGAATAAATAGTGTAGAACACATAATGAGATAAGAAAATATGTTTATCATGTCATTTCTGAATTACGCGTGGAAACAGAATAACCTAGAGCAAGGAGAGCATCGAGATGAGGAAGATCAAGATTGTGGAGATCCCAAGTTGCCGCAGAATGCTGCACCTGAATATAAGCATTTGATTGGTATTCATGCTAGGAAACGGAAAAGTGAAATCAAGGAGTGCTTACTTGTGGATCCTAATAAGGCTACACGCGTTAGCTTAAGTGAAGAAAAACTGGAAAAGGCAGTTAAAAATCATGGAACAGATGTTATCAGGTAGTTAATTTGATGTTTTTGTGTTCAAGAAATTGTATGTTTTCTTGCTTTGCGTTCTACATACCCCATTACACATGTTTCATAGTTTAGTGGTCTAATTGGAGAGATAATTGGCTTTGTTTACTTATGATATCTTGTTCTACCATAGAATGATTATTAACCATCAAGATGCACTTTGGTACTGTGTTATATGCTCGTATACTTTTGCTTCAAATCCCCCTTCAATTTCTTACATACTTCTTAATCTGGTGATTGGATTCTTATAGGTTTACCCACAACAATTTACTGAGGGTCTACCCAAAAACTACACGGTTTGACTCGTCAAATTACAATCCGCTAATTGGGTGGATGCATGGAGCTCAGATGGTTGCATTTAACATGCAGGTTTGATTATTTTCTAAGCCTTTAGCTTTTCATTTTATATTGTTAAATATGTTGTTCTGTACAGGGTCCCAAACTTTTGTCTCTGTTGGACGTGCATCACATCCCTAGATCTAGTAATAGTACAACTTCAAAAAATACATACACAAGCAAGAGACATACTGTTTAATGTAATTTGAAAATCCTGCCTAAGATATTAATTCCCGAATTAGGAAAACCTATATAGAATAGGTATACAGCAACTAGTGCCTTTTCCGAACTACATGGTTGCATTTTATTGAATTCTGAAAGTTGGGGGTGGTAGGATTGGTGATTGTTTGCATTATCTTGCTTACTGTCTTATGCAGCCTCTCTAGCTTTTATGTTTATTAGTGGATCCAAACAAGGTTAATATTGGGTCTATGAACCTGCAAGCTAGTTGGGATTGCATTTTAGTCCAACAAGAGAAAGCTTGATTTTAGAAGAAGTTATAGCATCCTCGGTGGCTGACATGAACTTCAAGGAAGCCTTATGTATCCGCATGTAACTTAATACATGCAATCATCAAATAGTTGATAATCAGTTGCTAAGAGATTTGGATTTGCTGGAAGCATCAATTAGCAACCTTCAATAGTTCTTAAATTTAATAAGGCTTCTATTTAAGCAATTAATTCTTGGATGTCTTAATGTATGATGTAACAAATTATCCTCCTGAACGAACAGAGCACTTTAAATAAGTGGAGCCATCACAATGGAGGATGGTAAAAATAAAATATCTAAACTGGTGGAATTTGAGCCTACTATACATGGAAAATTTTGTGAGTACTGTGAAGGCAAGATCATATTCATTTAAATCTAATGAAAAAAAAAGGGGAATGATTTTATTTTGACAGGATGTTTAAGGTCCATTTGTTTCTGTCTTATCTTCTATGGTTTCAGACATGGAGAAATGATATGCAGTAAATCTGAATGTACTAACGACGTGTGCTCCCATTACAGGGTCATGGCAGGTCACTTTGGTTGATGGATGGAATGTTCAGAGCTAATGGTGGGTGTGGTTATGTGAAAAAACCAGATATCTTACTGAAGGTTGGGCCTCAAAACGAGGTCTTTGATCCTAAAAAGACTTTACCAGTGAAGAAAACTCTGAAGGTGGGGAAAGCTAGTCTGGGTCCCTTCTCTTCCTTCAATATATATATGTCACTGATGCGCCACTCACTTGAGCTTTGATGTTACTAAAACAGGTGAAAATATATATGGGAGAAGGCTGGTATTTGGACTTTGGCCGCACGCACTTTGACTTATATTCACCACCAGACTTCTATGCAAAGGTATGATTAGAGAAAGGACTTTTCAAATATATATATATATATTTGGCTTCTTCTTTAGTGATTGGTTATCATTTTGGGAGCTCTGGAGAAAATAAAAAACTGCCTTTGTGTGTGGACGTGTGTGAGAATGATCAACTTATGTGCAGGTTGGAATTGGTGGAGTTCCTGCTGATTCAGTGATGAAGAAAACAAGGATAATAGAAGACAACTGGATACCAACATGGGATGAGGAGTTTGAGTTCCCCTTGACTGTCCCCGAGCTAGCATTGCTTCGGATTGAAGTTCACGAGTATGACATGTCTGAGAAGGATGATTTTGGAGGCCAAACATGTCTTCCTGTTTCGGAGTTAAGAACAGGAATTCGTTCTGTACCCCTCCACAGCCAGAAGGGAGAGCAATACAAATCCGTGAAGCTACTCATGCGCTTTGAATTTGTTTGAGGTTGATGCTTCTACCTAATTAAATCCGGAAAATGAAAAAGATATTTGCGTTCTCTGTAGATGTCTATAATTTAGCTGTTTTTAGTTTTCTGGCCAACACTCCAGTGCTACTTTGTGGGAAAAAAAAAAAGGAGGCACAGTCATGGTCCTGCTGTTCCCAATAAACTGTGAAAGCCCGTTCCAACCCATAGCTTGATGTGATGGACTGTGATCAATAGCTTGAGGTGCCAAACTGACTGGTGTGGAATATATGCAGTCACACACACACAATATACAGGCACCCCGAGTTTACCTATACTACCTTCATCTTTGTATAGGTCAAATAAACCTCGTGTGTTAAATATTTATGCTACAATGTAGAACCTCCAGTTATTGGTGCTGTCTATAAATTTTATCCTACAACCATCTTTTTATTAGGCCTTCTTGTGTTGCTTTTATGTTACAAGCTTAAACATTCAGTATTTTCCTGCATCCCTTCTGATCGATTCAACTTTTTTCTCACTTCAGCAAGCGACCTCTGGAAAAGGAAGCCTTTCTTCACTGGGAAGTTGTGGAAGTGTTATCGACAATTTGACAGAATTGGAGCACTTCAAACACAATAATACAGGGTGCTTAATTATGTTTTGATCATTTTTGGGGATTTCACACTCACTGAAACCAAATAAACCTGACAATTTGATTACACGTAGTTCAGCATTCAAGGAGAAATAGAATCCCGGATTTCATGTGATCTTATACCCAAAATGGCTTGTATGCCACCAAAATCATCAGCTTCAACTTCGTCCAGTTGCATTATCTTATCACATTCACACGAGTCAAAAGTCAAGACAGCATTGTTTGTTGCAATGGCAAAAGGTCGGTTGACTAGTGAGGACGGAGTTCAAGTTGAGTTCCCTTTTGGCTTCAATCTTCCCTCTCCTAGGCTTGTACCCCATGTAAACAGAATCAGTGTTGGATATTAGCCTAATTTTGATATGCATCCCATAATTTGGTCATGCATAGATGGAAAATCAGCTTATTTTGTTCTCACACAAAGCATTCTATCACTTGCAGCCAGGGGCGGAGCCAGTGGGTGCATGCCCCTGGCCTGGGCCCACCCTATGTATGTACGTATGGTTTATATTTTATTTTTTACATATATATATATATATATATATATATATATATATATATAAATTTGTATATTATGCTCCCCTAAAATTATTAGTTTCCATTTTTTTTTTTTTTTTGGGTACTCTCTCTATTTTTTACTCTTTAATTACTTTTTAAAAAAGGTCCTTATTTAATCATGCTTTAATTTGCTTCCTTCAAAATTCATTTTTCTTTCCCTTTTTCTTCTTCTTCTTCTTCTTAATTTTTTTTTTTATAAAAATTCCCACTATGCCTCCTGAGTTCAAATCCTGGCTCCGCCATACTTGCAGCTCCTCAAATGGATCAAAAGAAACTGAGATCCTAAAACACTCGCACTATTGGATACTCTCAACTCCTTTTCTCTACTTTCGTGTCCTTTCAGGCTTGCAAAACACTGCCCTTGTAAAGTTTCTGTTTTCGATCACTTCTTGTTTGGTGGAGTCTTTCTTAGTTTCGATTTAATTTAGTTGGAATTTTGAACTAGAGTAAACATAACTTTGATATTGTTTTGTACATATTGAAAATTCTCTGCCTCCTCGTGTTTATCAACATAAGAATTCACACATTGCAACACAATAGTACATTTTTTAGAAAATACCTTAGCTTATTATTAATTTTGTAAACTCAAATATTTAAGGAAAAGTATAAAAAGAAAAAGAAAAAAAGAAGAAGATATCCATGTAAATTAACCAACCTCTTTATAAACACGAAGGCATGAACGAATTCTTAAGTCAATCATGTGAAGTGAATGCTAGTCAAGTTGTATGCCTTTACTAAATTTCTAAAATTCTTTTTCCCTGTTCAATTGAGATTATTTCATTTATCATTTTGACTCCTTTGAAAGAAAATTTAAGGTCGTTGGCATTTATTGATTTATGTTATCACACATATACTAAATTCAAATAGGCGTTCAAGACTAATTACGTTCTAATGTCAAGTTAGATAAAATATTTACAATCATACAAAAAAAAAAAAAAAGGTCTTGTTTATCAACTTTTTATTTGAAAGATTGAAGAGAGTTCAAAAATTTTGGTGGGAAGTTAGAATTGATATTTTAGCAATATAATTATAAATCGAGGACCATAAATGTATATTTGTATGGATAAAGTACAATATTCTGATTTTTATAGGTCAGCTTATATTGTTTTTGTAATCGACCACTTCTCATTAATTTTGTTCTAGTCCGTTACACCGATATCGTGACCATGACCGCAACAGATACTGTGAACTTGATATATATATATATATTCATAAAACACTTATTATAAGAATATTATGGAGTTTTAATTAAAAAATTTGGTCAAAATTAACTGTTAGTTATATATACATATTAAACTACAATGCGTCTTTTTTGTAAAATTTGTATGTGAGTGTTTTTTAGTTGCTTTACCCTTTTTTTTTTTTTAATTATTATTATTATTTCTTGTAGCAAGTAAATATTCATTAACAACACACCACCGTGGTCTAACTTGGGCAAAGAAATCTCAGAACATTGTGGTCGTGAGCGGTGACAATAAACCAAAATAAAAATAAATCACAAACCCTACGAATTAACACCACCACTCTGCCGTGTCCCTGCATATTCCCTCACCGTGCCAGTATGCTACAATTTCTTGAGTGAGAGTGTCCTAACCCTCCGGCGAATTTGTATGCTTCAAACGCCTCAGTCTTTCACTCAGTCATATATATATACACACACATATACACGCACGCATATATAATTTATATATTACTTGAATCGACAAATTTTCGATCTCAATTGTCTCTTAGAACTACTATCTTCGATCTCTCTCTTCCCCACTTTTGGAAAAAATATATTGATTTCCAATGGTGGGAAGCATGGATGCGATTTCCAGGGAAAGAGTTGCCAGTCTCATCAACTCGGTCAAGTTTTCCATGGACATACCGTCGAAGCTTCAACCCTTGCGCCAATTGAAGGACGAGTTGTTGGAATCGGACTACGCCTTTCTCTCCGAGTTTCTCTCTCCCCTTCTTCATCTTCACACCGATCGCTTCAGTCCAGTTCGCAAGTTCGTCACAGAGTACGCATCAACAACTCCTGTTTTACACACAAGCAGTATATCTATATATGTATATATATATTGTCAATAGCATTCTTTTTATTTTTTAATATTATTACTATTAATACTTGTATTAGTATAAATGTTACTAGAATTTTTTGTTTTTTTATAATGTTGTGGATTTTCATCAACAACAGTTAAAATTAATTTGAATACAAAAAAGTGTGTATTTGTACGTAGTATTTATTATTCAAGGACTTGAGTGTGGGTAGAGAGGGGGTTAGGGTTTCTTACCTTCAACTTGCTGATTCACAATTTTTTCTCAACCTTGGGTCAATTTTAGATTTTTAATGAAACTCTAGTCTGTATCCAACTTCAAGGTTTACTTGGAAAAAGATTTCATAGTTGTAATTAGGTGCTATTTGATAGAACTGAAAGCTAAGCTTCCAAACTAAATTATAAGTACTGTAGTTTTAAGTGGTAAGCATAAATTGAGAACTTAATTTAATATAAATTTTGTTGTCAAATGCACTTAATTAGATAATCACTTACTCCGTAATTTATTTAGAATTAAGTATTGAATTGAGTCACTGAACAACACCTTGATGTTTCAGATTTATGCCTCAAAAGGCTAGTTTATTCTTTAGGTTATGGCATTAGTGGATGCCCCATTAAGTATTTGGGCCTTCCTTTATGTTTTTAATCCTTGGCCTCAGAACCTTTGGGATCCCGTGATAAGAAAAAATGAAAAAAAGGTTTCTGAGTGCCTTGATAAATGAGGAAACTTACTTCACCATGGGAGTAGGATCAATTTAGTTCAATCTTGCTTAGCTAACACTCCCATTTGATGCCTATATCTGTCATCGATATATAAAGAGGATTCGTAGAGAGTTTTTGTGGTCTGGGTCCAGGTACTTATATAGAGAGAATTTGGTTAAGCGGAAACTGTTTGTGGGCCTGAAAAGTACAACAGGTTAGGGGAATTTTACTACAAAAAATTGACCCCTGTGACATTAAGGTTGGTTAATCTATTTTTGAGGAATAAAGTCCTTTTAGGGAATAGTTATGTAGATTTTCTAAAGAGCAAGGGCATTTAGTGGTCAAATTTAAGTACAATTATGTGGGATAACGAGTTGAAACTAGGATGGAGAAAGACCCACTTCAATTATTTGAAAGCTATTTATTCTATGGTCTTTTGGATTATCTAGGCTTCGTGGGGCCTCTATTTTTTGACTGTGGTTCATCGTCGTCCTACCCATTCTTGAAACTATCACCTTTTTTTTTTTTTTTTTCTTCCCGGAATTTGAATGGTCGAGAAAGATTGAGCTTTCTTTTTCTTCTTCGCATCTTGAGGAGTTATATTGTTTATCTTTTAATTTGGGCAATGTTGCAAATTGCAAGTGTTGTATGGTTATATTATTGTCATAATGATTTCATCATGCTGCTAATATTTTATTACTTTTACATTTTTTTTTGGTTTCGGTTTAATGTTATATCTCTGTGTGTGTGTGTATGGAGGGATTCCAGTCCAAGAAAAATATGGCTTTTATGATTTTCTGTTTTTTGAATGCAGGATAATTGGCGATATTGGGTTGAAGCATGTGGAATTTTTACCTGAAATTCTACCTGTTTTGGTAATTGTTTTAAAAGATGGTACTCCGGCTGTTGCTCGACAAGCCATCACTTGCGGAATTGATATATTTCGTTGTACCCTTGTAAAAGTTGCAATCCAGGTTTAGTTTCATATCTGAGTCTGTTTCTTGGGATTGGGTGCTTTGTGATTTGACACCTCTGCTGCATTGACTCTTTAAAATGTGTGAAGTGTGTGCTGTAAAAAAACTTTGTTATGATGATCTTTTTTTTTGCATTATTGCTTGGAAACGAGTGAGAACAATATTTTACTCTCTATAAGAAGTGAAAAATGTTATATAATATGAATATGTACCAGTGTCTCTGTGTCCTTGAGTTTGAAGATTTGGTAAATCCAACACTTGAGACATATACCCACACCCGACTCCACATACGCGGTTTATGTAGCATAGGTTCATTCCTATTTGAAATAACATATTTATTAGATAATCTTTTGCAAGTGCTAGCTGCATGCATACTGAACCATATCTATATTTAACATCCTTTTGGAGTACTAAAATTCTGTTATTGATTATCAAAATCTTCTAGAAGTGCTAGCTGTCTGTAGGGCTGCAAACATATCGATCCGAGCCAAGTTTTGAGGTGTTCGGGCTTGACATGCCAAACTTAAAGCCCTGTTCAAGCTTGGTTCGTGTTCAAATGAGCTTGGCATAGCCATTCTCAGGCTAGGCTCGACATTGTTCAACCAGGGTCGGGTCGGGTCGGGTTTGTCTCGTATATGTACATATTTAACTACAGCCGTACATAAGAACTTGCCAGGTGCCGATCTCTTAACCATCGCCGCCACCTGCATTGTGGCCATGGGTGCGCTGGCATTGTGGCCATGGGTGCGCTGGCATCTCTTAACAAGCACGTTTATTCCGCTCCTTGATCATGACATATACGGTTTCCTAATTCTCTCTCTTTCAAACGGATGACCTTTGATGGGCTTTTCCCATTTCTTCCATGGTGATTGCAAAAATAGCGGGAGTGAATAATTAAGATATAGATGAGAGAGAAGTTTGATTTGGAATGAGAGATGAGAGAGCATCTGGAATGAGAGTTGAGAGAGAGAGAGGTAGACGTCTAGAGTTTTATTATCTCTTTTAAGGGTAGAGTTTATTTGTAGCCGTCAGATATATTTCAGTCCAGTGGCCTACTATTAATAGACTTATGGGCCTTAAAGATATGGGTCTTATTTGTATAAGGCAGGCTGATATAGTGGGCCTTATTGATCTTCTGGGCTATGGGCCTTGTATGAAATGGACTTAAGTGGAAAATCCAAATCACTTATGGACCTGAGATTGTTCCTGAGCCAAGGGAGCCTAGCTCGAAAGCTCGAGCTCGGCTCGTTTAGCAAACTAGCTTGGGAGCTTGAGCTTGCTGCCTTTATTAACTAAATGAGCTTTAATGAACTCATTGGCGAGTCGAGTCCGAGCTACTCATGAACAGCGCGGTTCTGGTTCATTTGCAGTTCTGTGTTGTACTACCTTGGATGTTCCTAGCCTCATATTGTTGTCATTTTCCTCCCACTCTTGTAGAATCGTAGGAAGTTTGGAACACATGACAAATGGAAATTAGTTGAAAAAGAACTTCTATAATATTCTTTAAATCTAGTCTAGTATGTAATCTATTCTCACATAATTAATTATTATGATCATAACAGACCTCTTCGCACCATTACATTAGTGCATCTTCTGAAATATATGCATTAACATAGTAACATACATGTTTCTGTAATTTTTTCAGGGTTTGTACTCTAGTGACTTGGATGATTCACTTGAATCATCATGGGAATGGGTGCTAAAGTTTAGGGATGAAATATACTCAATAGCATTTCAGGTAAGCAGTGATTTTAATCACGGCACCCTTACTTAGGTTATCTGCATGTCCTGATTCATTGTAACTAAATGTTTACAAGCCAACAAGCGATGGGAGAAGGTTGCTAGCGCTGAAGTTCATTGAAGCAATTATTCTTCTTTATACACCTGATCCTTGTGGCTCTTCAGAGCCACCTTCTCACCAGGCTTCTGAAGGTATTTCTACTTCCTTTGATATTATAGATCTAAATGTTGGAATATGTTATGTTAGTAATTTAGCTCTTGATTGCATTGTTTATGTTTATATTCTACTCACCTCTTTTGTAGGACTCTCTATGGAATTTAACATCTCATGGCTTCGTGGAGGTCATCCTGTACTGAATGTTGGAGATTTGTCAATTGAAGCGAGTCAGAATTTGGGGCTATTGCTAGATCAGCTCAGGTTCCCAGTGGTGAAATCTCTCAGTAGTTCCATGATCATTGTACTTATCAATAGGTATCTAATATTTTCTTGCCCCCCTACAACCTATATGAAGTTGCTCTTTCTTTTTAGCATTGCAACATGGAGAGCAGAATTCCGAAGCTGTCATGTCGTAGCACTTAACCACATAAAAGTTGGCATGACATTCAAAAGAGATGGGGTCATGGAGATCAATTATGGACGTGTGTCAGACTTGCATGATGCCTTACCTGATTCTTTGAGGGTATATATGGGGTCCTATATATATATATATATTTTTGATGAGTGATATATATATATTTTTTACCAGAAACCAGAAATATATTAGGAGAATGATACAAGTGAAAGAAGGATGAGGATTTCTTCAACTAAGGAAATACATACAATGAATAAAAAAAAGAGACCAGGGCTACAATTATTGAAAATAAATTTCCTCACTCAAGAACTCCTCCAAACTCGGGGAGGATGTATTTGAACACTGAAAGAGTAGTGCTTCTCTTTTTGTCAACATCCTCATTAACTGATCCTAGTATCCTGTTAAGTTCTGCTCGAGTGTAGGAGGATGAATCCATTATATCTCTTATTATATGTTTATAATGACATGAGAGAAGAAACAGATAGCCACCCCATACAACTAGAATCTCCTTCGATCAAGAATGTGATGTAACCCTAAAGAACATGCTTCTCTAGGGTCTTCTAAGAGAGTTACATTTCTGCTTTAATGGCATAATTCATCAATCATACCAGCTTGTTTGGGGAAAGCTAGAATCTAAGAAGCATTTACATTCTTATAAAGGTGCCTTGTCCATGTTACACAAACATCGACAGTTCATGGACACTCAGCTGACACTTCTAGGCACTCCTAACAAATGACTTATGTAGCAAGAGCACGTCTTAGAAGTACCCATTTCCTACAATCTTGGAAACAATATGAACACAATGATTCAAACTTTCTTTTTCCTTCCTTTGCACTCCTAAAAAGTGACTTTTGTAGCAAGAACACATCTTAGAAGTACCCATTTTCTACAATCTTGGAAACAATATGAACACAATGTGTTCAAACTTTCTTTTTCCTTCCCTTTTCTTTTCTTCTTCTTCTTCTTTTTTATTTTTATTTTATTTTGTTTTGTTTTCTTCCATAAGAAAATTTGACATTGTAATAATTTTACACATGGCCATCACAAGTGAAGCCTGTAATAAGCATTTTTTTAACATAGAACAAGATCATAATTATAATGGAAATTTTTTGTTTGGGAGTAGCAGTAGTATATTTAATTGTCTTATATAGTGGATATAGAAAATATTTATATAGTTCTGTATGTGTTGTGCCCATTTTAATATATTTTTATGATTTTTAATGTCAGCGTATGTGTGTTGTATCATTTCCGTCTCCCATATCTTCTTTTGTGCTACTTAGGCAAGAACTACATTCTTGTAGAGGCTCTAAATACATCCCTAATTACAAGCTGATCTAGAAAAGGCCTCCAATTATTGGAATAGCCTTATTAAGGGTTTTTAGTGGAGGAACCACATGTCAGTACCCAAAAAAAAAGAGGAGGAAATTTCAAGGCGTTTTCTAAGTTCTTTTATGTGTGTAGCTTTTGGGACGCATTCTCCTTTTAAATGATTTCTAATACATTTTACTTATCAAATTAAAGCCCGAAAAAAACTAGCTATATTTACTTTGCTAAAACCTCTAAAGGAGGTTTCAATTCTCAAAAAAGGAATAACCGTTTTAAGGCGGCAACTCGATGACTCATTGGTTTTGTCTTTGTTACGCCATAAAGCTGAGTGTGGCGCAGTGAAGAGAGAAATGGTTGGAGTTATCCTTACTCTTAGAAAGAAAACACATTTAAATGGAGGCCTTCTTAGGCCATTTAGCTTGAACAACCTTATTGGTACAATTCACTTAATAGGAGGGAAGGATGAGGGAGGGAGGGAAGATAGGAGGGATGGAACAAGGCTCCATCGTTTGGTAGGAGGGATAGCTTGAGGGAAGGGAAGGATGGAGGGATGAACCATCCCTCCTGGACCACCGTTTTGCTTCCATCCAATGTGGGAGGAAGAGGAAAGAGAAAAATAAACGTTTGTTAGATAAATTTGAAAAGACATCTGTACCCCTCGTTTTAATTTATTTTTTTAAGGGTATATAAGTAAAATAATAATAGCATCTATTTACTTCCCTTCCATCCGACCAAACAAAAGGAGGGATGAACACCATCCCTTCCCTAGGGATGCCTCATCCATCCCTCCCCTCTCCGTTCCATCCAATTTTTCATCCCTCCTACCAAATGGAACATAAGAGCCACTGACCATGCTGAGGCTTTACCTTTGGGGTTAAGCCTTAAGTCTCCTGAATCAATTTTGCCAAAGGGAAGGAAGATGGATTATCTCTCTTAGGAAGTAAACAGAAATACAATTTTGGGGTGAATGATCTACCACTGCACAATGCACAAAATTCCGACTTTTCTCAATTGGAATATAAAAGGAAGCAAAAGGGGATATGTAGATACGTGTTTATACCCACATGTACACATACGAATTCAGCTATTCTATTTTTTGATGTTTACAAACTGCAAAATGAGAATTGAGAGATGTCATCTCCATGCGTCGTTTGCCTGTATTTCCTTATCAGGGTGTACCTTTGGCACATTCTCTTTCTTCCTTAAAAGGAATTTAGATCCTTACCTTCAAAAATGGAGCCACTACCGTATCCCCAGCTGATGGGGTGATTGAGGAATTATTTTGGATAAAAAAGATGGTCCATCAAGCCTCAAAGAAATGAAGTTTTATACTGCCTGATATATTTTATTTTACAAGGCGTCTTCTATATTTTGTTAAAGATGGGATTCATTTAGTTTCTCGGTTACTTTAGATTTGAGATAGAGACAAAGAGGCTAACCAAAACTCACATGAAATTTGAAATGATTGCAAAAAATTAAATATAATATGAGACATGGTTTGGAATAGAAAAAAATGGAAAAGGAGATTTCATTTGGCCTATCCCATCCATGTGGGGTAAAGGCAGGAATGATGATGATGACAGAATGCATTTGGTAAGTTTTTTGTTATTAGGGGATCCTTTTGTAAAATTAGTTTTGCCAGTTAGTCTTGCTGGAAAATTGCAGAAAGCTTCCCTATGATCAGATTTTGCAATTTTTGGCTTTGATATCTCTGTTAATCAGGTCCCCCGTTCTATCTGATGCGCTACACTGGTCACATCGCCCACTTATCTACCGAGTTCCATGATGTGTGAAACCCATTTTCTCTTGTAGCGCTTCCTATTCGTCACGGTTCCATAGAGAGAAACCTTCCTTAAGAGAGAAATCCTTGAACACATACAATCCTTCCCCCAACCCGTACAGTCCCTACACTGTAAAACAATAATAATAATAATAACAACAATACATCTTCCGTGCCTTTATTTAATCGATAGCTTTCCCTTGTATTCTAACTCCACCAAGGGAAGAAAGTAATAAATAATTTTACTGATTCCTCGAGAGTGGTGTTAGGAATTGGCTTAGACTTTCAGTTTAGCATATCCTAATTAGGGGAAGATATTATCTGGGCTTTGTTCTTAAATGTCTCATGGTCCTCATCGGCTACTTCTTTTTTCCTTTGCTGGTCAATTTGTCATAAGCTATTAGTGCTTTGTTATAGCCTTATAGTATTTTTACTGTTATAAAGTTTGTTTATGCTCTTTTTTGTTTCTGATCAGTCTTTCAGCAATTGCAACGAAAAGACCTGCTTTTTATGGGCGTATATTACCGGTTTTACTTGGTTTGGACTACTCAAGCTATGTGAGCAAAGGGGTGCACGTTTCTGGGCCGTATCATGCTTTAAAGAATGCATTCCTCTCCTGCTTGAAATGTACACACCTGGGTGCTGTGCCGGTATATATTCTCTTTTGCTTGTTGAACGTGCTTTTTCTGTAACATACGAATTGGAAAAGAGTTCAGTCCTCTTCTGCTATTGGTTTTTGATCCATGGACTTGTGGTTGGGCATAATTTCTGCATTAATTTATATATGGTTCTTTCAGTTCATGCAGGATGTTGGTTACAGTTTTATTTGAAAATGGTTGCTTAATTGGAAATTTTGTAATAATTACTTGGGGTCACCAAAAAAATAAAAATAAACTGTGAGATTTTTTACAATTTTTTTGATTTGACTGAAGATAAGCTGTGTGCGTCTGCAAACGAGCACTCGCTCTGGTATATTGAGTTTAAAGTCTTGGTAATTTTGATTGGCCATATTATCCATTTCTGTCACGTGGCTCTAGGCTAATTCCTGCTAGAATTGACCATTTTGGAAAGCTGCAGCAAGCAAAACCTGCATCTCTTACATATTATTATTATTACTACTACTATTTTTTCGTAAAAGAGTCTTCTGCTGAAAGTGCCAAAATGGGGCCAAAACTGATATACAAGTGAGGTATACAATTATATGAGAAGTCAACCAAAAAATCTTAATCTACAAAATCTCTGCAAGTGAGCCTCTCCCATTCTGATTTTCATGTACCCTCATCACTAAGCTCCATGCTGTCTTTAGACCACACGCCTGTTGTGTTTGCCTTGAGCTTCCACTTGTTCCCCACTTGTTCCATGTCTCCCACTACCCTGTTCTACCATAATTACCTTAAAATTTAGTGCTATCTCAGCAAAAACAGGCACTCTAGATCTCCTCTATCCCACTCTAATTCAGATCATCTCCCGGAAAGGTCAATTTGTTGCTCGAATTATAACCCAAGCTGATCTTAGAAAACGTCTCCCTGCTGCTTTATTGTATGAATAAGACGCCCACCTCTATTCCCTAATGCCTTGCACTTAGGACACAGAAAAAAGCAATGGCAACCCCCAAAAATCTGGGCCTGTTTATGTTTTATAAAAGCAGTCTTCCCAAGCTACGAATCCAAAACATGCGTTCCCCCTCAAATTCTCTCTCCCCATTTCCTGCACTCTCTTTACGCTGGAATTTGGAAGAGGAGCGGGGACTGACTTATAAAAAAAAATAAAAGAGGAGGAACGGGGACCATTCAGGTTAAATGCACTCACCAAAGCTGAGATACCCATCGACACAAAACTGAAACCTACTTCAGTAAGGAAGCGGAGAGTGTATAGCTTCTATAGTTTCCACCAGACATCTCACGATGAAAGTTAGCCTTCCCTTGGATGATTCATATGTCACAACCAAATGCCTGTCTTCTTTCAACATGTTATCTACAATCTTGACAAGCTCTGCAGGGCACTCCCAGATCTCTGTTCTTGCTGTTAACTTCTTTTGTGCTGGTTCTATTGCAGTGGCTGCCCATTCCCAAATCTTCTAAACAACCTAGTGTTTCCTGTGTCCTCCATTTTTACCATCCTCTGTTATGAAGATTTAAATAAGGGCTTCATTGTCATAGATGGCAGACCTCCACGTATATGGATTTCCCATCCAAATTCCATTTTTTAGCAATCTTTAATCCAAGCACCATGACTGAAGTATTGCTAGAGCTGTCACTCCTATTCGAACTCCATACCCTTACCACAATCTGAAAGTGGGAGCAGTCCTTTTGCCTATATCAGTCAGCTCGGTGCTCTTACTCTGCACTTCAATAATAGTCATCTAAAACAGCAAATGAAAAATATCCAGAGAAAATGTTTACCCTTTTGGGCTGGTTTATCCTCTACCATTTATATCTTTTACAAATTATTCTTTTCTCACTGCCTCAATCATGTTATTTCTGGCTTTTCTTTATCCTGTGCTACCGCCAACTTGGGCTATACACTCCTCTAATAGTGCAATTATTGGTCTTTGATTGGAATTAACTGAACTATTTCTTGTCTCTCTCATCTTGTTTCTCATGTATTGGCCTGTAAATCGGGCTGGTCTGAGTCTGGCTGATGTAGCTGGAGTGCAGCCCAAATCAACATTTTTAGGCTTAGAGCTCAGCCATTTTAGCTCACTTTTATCAGCAAGAATTCAGCTTATTTTGTGTGACAAACTTCCGGCTGTGTGTGGGCCTGCTTGAAATAAATATCTAATTAATATTCCTCTCAAATGGAGACAATTATAAAATAGTACCTCAATTTCCTAATCTGAATTCTATAATTTGTAGGTATAATTCAGAAGATCAAAGACACTAACTGCATCATTAAATAGCTGGTTATATATTTAAACTTGCTACAGAATAAGGAGATAAAGTATCTAAGTCTTGTCTTTTAGAAATTTTTATCTTGCCATTTGAATTTAATACACTGCACTGACATCTTAATTTTTTTACTAGCATGTGGTTAAGGTAAAATTGATGTTCGTATGGTGAAAAGGTGCTTTGTTTACACAAAGTTGTTCAAGGCCCTCAGTTCCCAAAGAAGCCCTTTTGTCAAGACTTAAACCATAATACCTTATTTAGTGATAGGTGAGGTCCCTTTTAATCTGGTGCGCATAAAGTCTTTAGGCATATGCCGTGGAATAGGCTCTAGGAACAAGAAAAACATGCCTTCTTTTAATAATCATTCAATTGTATCTTTATATTCATTAAAGGCCCATTGATTGACTTGTTTTTATATCATGTTGTGGTTTTACGCCATAGATCATATTGCTAGTTGCTAACAACCATCTACTCCAAAAGCTTAAGCTTTTAGAGAGGTTGTAACTTAAACATTTAAATCCTTCAACACGCCCCCTCACGTGTGGCCTTTTTTTGTTGCAACACTTGTTTCAATTTAAATTATCAGGGTGATGGTCAGGTTTGAACTCGAGACCTTTGGCTCTGATACCATGTTGACAACCATCTACTCCAAAATCTTAAGCTTTTAGAGAAGGTGTAACTTAAATATTTAAATCCTTCAACACTAGTTATTTGGGGTTTCATGGGCTTATGGTGTCTAGTTGAATTATATATTTATTTTTTTCCTAAATGAATTATATATTTATACATCTAGTGCTTGCATCTAAATAGTTACCTAGTCTGGTTCTTGTTAATCTAGGAAGCTAGGAGGGATGGACTTGATTAAGACATAACTTTTCACATTATTTGCACAAATTGATTGCTCTTGATATTTTTCTAACGTTTAGCGCACTAAGCAATGGCCCCTAGTGCTTGCATCTGATATTTATTGCATTCATATTGATAGGATATATGTCCATTAGTTTTGCTAATCCTCTTATTTTTTATTTAATTTTAGGTCTTGAGCTAACCCTTTAACTGATAGGTTAATTTTTCTTTTGTTTTTTTTTTTCCCCTCCTATTTGTATATATTTGACTAGTTTGTGTTGCATATTATGAATTGTTTCAAGTTTAAGTATATTTAATAAACATGTCATCACACGTGTGCCTTTTGATGAACCTTCTGCCTAATTTATAGGAAATCTTGGTGCGTTAGCTCACCTCGTGCCTAATATCTATGCTTTTATATGATATTTTAATATTATGGTTTTTGCAGTGGCGAGATCGTTTAGTTGGTGCACTGAGAGAAATGAAAGCCGAAGGGTTGGCAGAAGTGGCCCTTAGCCAAGTTTGCCAGATCAATGGAAGTGTAGAGGGGAAGGACATTTCACTAATTTCCGAGGTATCTACCATATTGTCATGTCTGTATGGATTCTATTAGATCCATTACCCTTCTATATGTTGAAATGGAACATGCGTTAGGTACAATTGCATATGTTGACACTAATACACGGGCATTAGGTACGCATAAACGTACAGCTAGTGGTGTAGCTTCGTCATGTGGGGTTGAGCACTTGAGCTATGGGTCAATCCAAGTTCAACTAAGATCTAGAGGCTCTACCCATGCCTATCACAAGTTTGCTACCCGAGCTATTCAAGTTTGACCCAAGCCTATCGTCAACTTATGAGCTTAGATTATACTTATTAGGTTGGACTTGTTTGGGTGGAGATGGGTTGAGTAGAAATATTTTGTCTCAACGCATGTTTAGGAGTTTATATTACACAAAAAGCACATTTTTCAAGTATCAGAGCATGAAGCGTACCAATAGTGGAAACTTTTTTGTGTGCAAGCATCGTGTCAAAATAATCAAGGAAAAGTTAATTTTTTTGGGAGGATTATAGAGATCAATATAGAGGAGGTCCAGGAGGAAGACAAGAACAAGAGAGAATCTAGAGAGAGTAGGGAGACTCAAACCTTAATCATAGGTGATTGAGGTGTGAAGTGGCAATTAGACGTCAAATTTCCTTTGAACAAAATGGAGAGTAAAGAGATTGGGTTGGGTTGACCCGGGGGTCAGTCCAAGGTTCAACTAAGAGCTGGCAGGCTTTGTCATGCCTATACCAAGTTTGCAACCCAAGCTACTCCTGTTTGAGTTAAGTGTAAGGTCAAATTTTATGAACTCGTTGTACTAAATGGGATTAGACTCATTCGGGTTGAGATGAGTTGGGTTGGGTCAATCTTTTTTTATTTCATTACTCAACACATGTTTTTCTGGTTAAATTACATGAAAATCATCTATCAGAGCATGATGGGTACCATCTTTCATCAGTTGTTGCAACTCCTTTTGTGCAAGCATCATAGCATGAAGGTAATAATTTTCATCAATTGTTGCAACTCCTTTGTGTAAGAATCATATAAAAATAATAAATGCAAAAAATTTTATTATGTAAAGGTTGAAAAGATCAAGAAGAACAATAAAGAAAATTTAGAGAGAGAGAGAGTTGTGAGGGATAATTTGACCTTAATTCTTTATTTCTCCTTCAAACAACACAGAGGGAAAGAGATCGGGAGTTGCAGAACCATGGGGGTGATGTAGTTTGGAACTTGCAGAGAACAAATTTGAGCATACCAAATTAATAGTTAGGGTTTGTATCTTTTAGAATAATGGAGCCTTCTTCATTTCACTTATTACCTCTTTCTTTACAGTTCATTGTCAAATGTCCATCATATGGTTAAAAATAAACAGAACTATCAATTAATGGGGACCAACATTGAGTAATGGTATTTATATTTTTTATGTGTCGACATATATTTTTATATAAAAGATGGGGATTGGGTGACGTGGTTACCAAGGCCTTGGCTCGGCCCTGGCCCAAGCCCAACATATAAAATATATGTTGGGTTGAGTTTGTTAATCTCAAGCCAACCAGATTCCCTTAGAAGGTTGCCCAATCCCGCTCAAGGTTTTGGTTCAGCTGTGTTGTGCTGACCGAGTTGCAGCCTTATGCGAAGTCAGGACTTTGAGGCCTCTTGATAATTGCCAAATTTCTTACAGGAAGAGAAGTCTTCATTTAAAGAATGTGATACTGTACAGATTGGTAGTGTGAGGAAAAGAGCTGGAGGACAGGACATTAGTGACTTGATTGAAGATAAGGATGTGACTGGAAAACGTGTCAGAACAACACCTATTGTCTCGGAGGGATCAACTCAAGAGTTTAGTAGGGATCAGGATGGCATTACTTCAAGTGGACCAACAACATCAAGAGAAGTTGAAGATAATGGACCTGTACAGCAACTTGTTGCTATGTTTGGTGCATTGGTTGCTCAGGGTGAAAAAGCTATTGGATCGTTGGAGATTCTTATTTCTAGCATCTCTTCTGACTTGTTAGCTGAAGTAGTGATGGCTAATATGCGCCACTTCCCTCTTAATCGCCCTAAAGCTGAAGGAGATGAAGAACCACAGCTGAACCAGGGTTGTAGTCCAAACATAGTTGGCAGTGATTCCCAGTTCAAATATGTGTCATCATTTTTGACAGACATGTTTGCACCATCCAGAGGTTTCCCACCGATGGATTCTGTGTTAGATGCTCAACAATCTGCATTCAGTGATATTGAAGTAAGATTTTTTCTTTTCTTATATTTTTTCTTATGACCACTTATTCATTTGTTTTTCTATTTTCTGGTATTTCAATTTCATATTTTGTTAGAATTTTAGCTTTTTGTTAGTCTTTTTAATTTATTATCTTCCCAGTTTTGCTTGAGCCTTTTTATTTTCATTTTTTTTGTTGTTGACTGACTCAAATCTACTGAATTTGTAGAATCCTCAAGAGGAGGAGGAACATCCTGTAGTGAGTCTGGCTGGCACTGATGTGGTATCTGCCGGCATAAATCATGGAACTGAAAAGGCAACTACAGGTGTACCAGTTTCATCTCAAGATGTTCCCTCCGTAATAGAGAACAGTTATTCAGCTATTCCATCTGAAGTCCTTGACGATGGCAATCTAGCCAGTGAGATACCTGGTTTGGATTCAGCTACTCGCAGTGATGGATTGCCAGAAACATTGGTTGCTTCATCTTTTGCTTCCACTGATGAAGAAGATGCCAGTCAAGAGCAAGTTACTAATATAGGCAGGTCATCACTAGAATTACTTCCGTCAGTGTCAACTGAGTTACTTCCATCTGTATCAACTGACAGGTCAGAGGAGCTTAGCTCAAAAGCTGCTGTTACAGATGCAAACAGCATTAACTCCTCAACAGCAACTTCTGTTGGGTTGTCTACTCAATTTGTCCTGCCCAAGATGTCAGCACCTGTTATCAACCTCGATGATGAACAGAAGGATAATCTTCAACTCTTCGCTTTCAACCGCATCATTGAGGCTTATAAGCAAATAGCAGTTTCTGGAGGTTCAAATGTCCGCTCTTCTACACTTGCCTATTTAGGAGTTGAGGTATCTATCCTAACTTCAGATGGATGTTAATTCTTTTTTTGCAGTGCTTGCCATAAAGTTCTTGGCATCACAATTACTTGTTCAGTTGGTGTCTTAATTGATTTAGACAATTTCTTAATTTTCTATTTTCTTTCTAGGTGTCATACTGCCATGCTGTTTTAAGTTTCTTGATTCCTGATTGTAAAGAACTATTTCTAACAGATGACAATAAGGGTTGTATCCTTTTAGGATAGCATTAGTATTTTTTGTGTTCTTTGCCGGGCATATGATAACATTTATCTTAAATTTATAGCTCGGAAAGGACTATTGCTGGAGAGATCTATGGTCCATCCCCGTTGTGAGGTCTGTAGCCTCTATAGTGAGCACTTGGGCTAGTGGCATACCTTGAAGTTACATATACTGCTCCTTCACATTTCTTATATGTATAGAATACGGTTTAGTCATCAGACGCCTAGTTAAAAAGGGAGATGAACAGTTAATAACATTTGAAAGTGAATCAAATAATGGACATGATACTATTTTCAGTTGGGATTATTAGAAAGCTCCACTTTGTTAAGAAGAGAGTTTTGAAGCACATTGGTACAGCAGGAAGGAAGAGGAACCTTCCTATGTATATTAAGAAACAAAAGCCAAGGAGATGGGTACTCAAGAGGGAAGGAATAGGTTATTTTTATGGTATTTAAGAACTAAAAGCTTACGGTAAGGCACATTTCCTTGACCGCAAATGGACGTTGCAGACCCAAGACACGTTCATTGGTGGATAGAATTCCCCTTCCATTATCAACTCTAGAAATCTAACGGAGCTCTACCTTTAACTTTCTGTATAAGTGTAAAAAAAATTCTTAACAAATGGCAATACCTCTATTTGTCTTTTCTAGCACAACCAATCACAATTCTGAATGAAAATTGTGACAACCAACTGAAGAAATCTTTGGAAAAACTATCTAGTGTGCCAAGGTCTCCACTCGGATGACAGCTAAATTCCACTTGCTTGAGGAAGGAAGAACTAGTTTTTCTTGGTTTACCAAGCAAGCAACCTTCAAAGTTAATTTAAGATTGCCTTACAAAGGATGCGTCTAGTATCAGAGCCTTTCTGTCTTAGGACAAGGCTAGGACTTAAAATAGGTGCCATCCTGTAGTTAGTTTCATATTGACTTTTGGTTTTGGAAAATTTGTAGGTTTGGTGCTCAACGAGATTTAAGACAGGTGTTTGTCTGTGGAAATTTAAAAGGTTTGGAACATGCAAGTTTTGGAAATGATAGGTTGTTGGGATTTCAGAATGAAGTTTGGTGCATTCTGTGGACAGCAAATACTATGGGGTTTTTGTGTTAAATGAAAATCCATAGAATTGGAGAAAGATATATGGTAGACGGCTTGTTAGGATGAGTTTTTGAGGATGTGATAGTGTTTTGAGGATGTGAATGATAATTTATTTAAGTGATTTGGTTTATTTGTGTTTTGGGCCTTTGGGGTTGCTAGGGTTTAATCTTTGATGGAGAAAGTGTTACAATTATTGAAGTAGAATTTTCAGGGTTAAAGAGAAGTGGTTGCTGAGGTTTTGTTGCAAGTTATAAAAACTGCCAAAATTAAAGAAAAGAAAAAGAATTGTTTGGTAAATTTATCTTGAGTTCTTTAAGGTTTCACCTCTTCAAGGGGATATCATGTCACACAAAAGTAATCTTCAATACTCAGAAATTCAAAGACAGCTTCTAAAGATAATTATATACACACACATAAATGATCTCTTGCTCTCTTGCACACCGATGAGCAAGAAACTTATCCACACCAGGTATAGTGACCGTTAGATATGATTGCTGTTTTTTTTAGTAACTTCCTTTTTTACTCTTGGATCATTTCCAACAATCACCATGCTTGGTGTGGAGAAAGTTTCTTGCTCACTGGCGTGAAAGAGATCATTTCTGTGTATATATAGGCTGTTGTAGGTCTAATTCTACTAGAACGTGGGTTCAGTTTTATAGCCAAAACATAATTTTATTTATTCTTTCTCTATTTGAAACACACACACTCACTTTGCTCCTATGGGGTTTTGAACACTCGACCTTCTACTTTAGAAAGTGAGGAAGTATCACTAGGCTACTACCCTTGGTGCACAAACATAATATTTAAATTAGGGTAAAATGCAAAAACCCCCCCTGAACTATTGGCCTAATGGCCTATTGCAATTAACCCCCTGAACTATTAATTTGTTGCAGTTGAGGACAATCCGTCACTGGAAAAAAAAGAGACAATTTTACCCTCATAAAAAACAACGTCGTTTTGGAAGTTATAAACTTGAGTCAATTATGTGGAAGGTAGCAATCTCAAGGGCCAATCAAAAAGTGACAACTCACCTCCAATCAAAATGCCACCAATCAGATTGTAATATAATTTGTTTTAATATAACTAAAAGAAGATAATATAATCACAGAGAGAGAGAGAGAGACGAAGAGGGGAAGTTGAAGAAATATAAGGCAATTGGAGTCGGTGAGGGCTCTTGGCAAATCGACACCCCGGTGCGATTCTACTATTTTCTTCTTCTCCAAATGTACACTCTCTTGAATCTATGTCTAACCTCTTCTCTTTCACTGTATATAATTTCTCTTCTATTTGCTGCGTGATTTTCTCGAGAAAATGTCTGCTGAGAACAGGGGTTGGAGCGATGCCACTTTCTGGTACTGAATTGAAGTGATTTTGGAGGCGATTTCTTATGATTTGAAGGAATTAAAGGGATGATTTCTTTGATTTCTTATGTTTGTATACCAATGTTTGGAAAAATTCTCATGAATACCTGGTTAATCACAGAGAGGGGAAGAGACACAGATACATTTATAGATGTGTATATATATACCAAATTGTCCAATACATGAGCAAGATATATAACATATAGGCACAGAGAGAGGAGATGCAGACTTGGTCCAGGACGTGAATATATATATATATATATATATATATATATACAGAGAGTGAGAGAGATGTAACCCTAAACGCAGCGTGTAACCACAACCACAACCCCAATTACTATTGACACCAACACATTTTATCGCAATCGCGGGAACTGCTATGCTTGACTAAAGCTCGCCGGAAATGGGTTCACTTGAACTGAACTGGAACACACCAAAAGTGGTTCACCTGAACACCGATTTAAAAAATCCCACCTTGATCATGACTGTATCGAGCATGAAAAGGTACACGGGCCGTGACATGTAGGAGTAAAGGTGCCGAGGTTGTTGGGGTTCAGGAACAGAACATATATATGTGTGTATTTGTGTGTGTATATATGCGTGAGGTAGCGGTGATGGTTGTGGCAGGAGGGGAGTGGTGGCAGTGGGTTTGATCGTGTGTGGTTACGAATTTTTTTTGTTTTTGGGGAATGCTGTGGTTGATGAGGGTGGCGGTTGGTGGTGACAGTGGGTTTGTGGGTGTGGTTTGATGGTGTGTGATGGTGGGAGTTCTTGCTGGCGTTGCCTCTCACGGCTGAGAGAGATGGTTCAGTCGATCCAGAGAGAAGGGGTTTGGGTATTTGGCAGTGTTTGGTTGTGGATAACAAGGGTATTATTGTCCTTTAACATTTGTAAGGGTATTATTGTCCATCAATTATATATTGCAAGTCATGTGACAATCACGTGCTTTAGTACTGGTCATATTTGAACGGAAGTTGGCCGGATGGGGTAAACTGCAACAAAAATGTATAGCTTAGGGGGTTTTCTGCAACTTTTGTAATTCAGGGGGTTAATTGCAGATACCCCAATAGTTCAGGGTTTTTTTTTGCATTTTACCCTTTAAATTATGAAAATTCTTTATTCATGATATGATAAATAAATATATATATAGGTTATTGTACTTTCATTTCTACCTGTTCGATGACTTTGAAATAAGTAGCTGCAGAACTTCAACTCTTAAGATTATTCTGGACCTACTAAAGACCACTTAAAATGCTCAATGTCATTGTCAGATTAAGAATTTTCTGCATCCTACAAACATTGGTACGTTAAAAGCGCAAGGACTTCACTCCAATGCACTTATTCTCCTGCAACTGCACCTGTGTCCAACCCTTCTTTCTTTGCTTGCTTTTGATTTTATGCATAATTGCATTTTCACTCTATTTGTCCTTTTTTTTGGTTCAATTTCTTGTTTATAACATTGTTATCTGTATATTGTCTCGTCTTTAAAGGGTATCAAGTGAGCTTCATAAACGAAATCCTGCGGGCGTATGACTTTATCCTATGCACTCAGCTCCAGTCATTAATAATAGGATTATTTTGGTAAGATATATGTCTTATGCAATTCTAATACTTTTTCTATAATGCAGTTTCCCTTGGAGTTAGACCCATGGAAATTACTACAAAAGCATATATTGTCGGATTATGTGAGTCACGAGGTGAGTGAATGCTGAGTTAAAATTATGTTTAGATATGGTTCTATTTGTTTGCTGCTTACTAGTACCTCTTTTAGCATGGGTTTGGGTACTACCGAAATTCCACTAAACTGCTAAATGCATCAAATCATAAAATTATATGAAGTGCAGAGTAATTTGATCAGCTTGTCTTTTCTTGCTCAGTTACTTGTTTTACTACTGCCACATGTACATATATTCATTTGGCTTTTTGAGATGGAACTTTATGCATATTAGATTTTTGAGAGGGAATTGTTTAGTAGAACTGTAGAAGTGACAGGTTCAAACTATTAGAGGAATGCCTTCTTGGCTACCTTGCTAAAATATACTGCATGAGACGTGCTTAATATATCAAGGAACCTCTACCACATTTTTATCAGAACCTATTTTGAAGTGCTGTTCAGCAATAGCTTGCCTTCGCATATTTTTCCCCTTCTTATTTTTTTTTTTTTTTTTTTTTGTGTGTGTGTGTGTTTTGGTTTGCGGAACACTGCTTTGGTTCAGTGTGCTGTCCTAATTGAAGCAAACAGATATGAACAGAAGTCTTCTTACAACAGTAAGAAAGACTAGAAATACTCCAATCACCATCTGAGCCCAGATTTCCCTGAAGAACTGTTTAAAATCTGATAATAACTCAAAATATATTGATTATGACTTTTAGACTGGCTTTTAGACTTACCCAAAAAGCATTAAAGACAACTCTTACTCTTCCCATGACAGTTCAGATTTCCCATACCATAATTACTACTTAATAGACTTTGACTAAACACTTTTCAAGGTACCATTGAATGCCTCAATCTTGACTAAGGTACCATTAATGATTTGCATCACTAATATACATGATGAAACTTTTTTTACACTATCTAAATTTACAAAGACGCTTTCTTGGTCCTTTCCCTCAGAATATTGAAGGAGATAATGATGGTATTCTTTGACAGTTGTTTTACTTTAATGAATGAATTCCTGGAAAATTAATATAAATATCCTTGTTTTGCCTGTTTGCAATATAGATCTTCATTCTTGTTCAATAGACTGTAGACATCATCTTATGACCACATTCTGCAAATATTTTTGCTTATTTTGCCTTGCAATTGGATGCAAAAATAATTGGAGTGAGCTCAAATTGGTGCTATTCTTAACTGCCTAAGAAGTTGGGTTAAGGCTTTGTTGAAGTTGACTATTATTAATTACTTATTTTATTTTTTCTATAAGAAGGTGACCCCCACCCCATTTGGGGTCTAGACTATTCCCTTCAAGTAAGCCTAGGGTGGAGACTTGATGCACCCAGTAGTTGAACACGACCTCAAGGTCATGTCTAGAGGGCCTTGTGCCAACTCAGCTACCCTGTGGGGGGTTATTTTTTTTATTACTTTTGCCACCTGCTGATAATATTTGTTGTGTCGTTAATTATCTAGTAATTAACTTGTGTATGGAAGAAGTTATTTTGAAGGTCTTTAGGATGGAAAGCTAGTTATTTTGTTGGTGAAAGAAATTTTTCTAAAATATTTGTTTCGTTCTTAGGTTCTGGTGCTTTTGCGTCTCTACGTCCTCTAGATCTGATCTGATTAGGCTTTGTTGTTGTGTGTAATTTTCATTGATTCATGTTTAAATTGCCTGGGTTCTGCCCTGTCATCTTTCATAAATTTTTATTCATAAAAATTAGGGGTTACTGAGAAACAGGAAATTTGGCATTATTTATTTCCCATATTTTTGTTAAGTGAATTCCCCACACACTGACAATGATTAATGTATGTCTTCAGGGCCACGAGTTGACATTGCGTGTCCTCTACAGGTTATTTGGCGAGGCAGAAGAACGTGATTTCTTTTCTTCAAGGACTGCTACATCTGTATATGAAATGTTTCTTCTAACCGTGGTTTGTATCCATTTCCCTTTTTCCAGTTGCCTTGTACTTCTGTGAGGCAAATGTTCAGTTTTTTAATTATTATTTTTCCATGCAGGCAGAAACACTTCGAGATTCTTTTCCAGCTTCTGACAAATCTTTAAGTAGATTGCTCTCTGAAGTTCCATATCTGCCAAAGTCAATTTTAAAATTGTTAGAGTGCCTATGTTGTCCTGGAAACAGTGATAAAGATGAGAAGGAATTACACAGTGGAGATCGAGTTACTCAAGGTCTCAGCATGGTGTGGAGCCTGATACTGTTGAGGCCTTCCATTCGAAATGTCTGCTTAAAAATTGCTTTGCAGGTTTCCTTCTGTTTATCCTGAACTACCTTTCTTCTTCCCACCCCAAAAAAAAAAACTTTCTTTTCTATTACGTTATTGTTGTCTTCTTGCAAATGGTATTCGAAGCTTTCTTTTTATCGTTTCTAGACTTCCTATGATTTTTTCTTGTTTTTTTTTTTTGTGCCTCAGAACTAATTGATAGAAAATGTCCAATTGTCCAAGATACTTATTGTCTTGTGAAAAATGATCGTGGTCGAGAATTTTGGATACTGGATATGATCATGTGATTGAAACATTTCTCACTTCTTGGGTTGTAAAATAGATTTAATTGAATGGTTGAGAGTAGTACTTCTCTTATTTGCAGTGGTAGATGATGAGATATCACAGTGAGAACTGAGAATTATTTGATATGGATACGTATAAGTACGCTCTGTATACACCTATTTTGGATATAGAACTTTGCATCTCATTAGCATCCCTTAGCCTGTACACCTGATCCACCTTCTGTTTCAAGATCTGATCCTTAAAAAGCTCACAAATTTAAAGTGTATTAGAGTTTCTGAACTAAGCAAAGATCAATGAAGAGAATCATGGAGGATTGGGAGAGTGAAGAGTGGCAAGACCTAATACACATTAATGCTTGCCTGGACCCCACAGGTCAGTGTGAACTATAATAGTAGATCATAGAAGAAAATTTATGATTTATCCCTATTAAGCTTTCTTCCTATTATTCTGGAAATTCTTAGATTCAAGGAAATGATTCAGTTCTGGATCTGAATATCATAGTTCTCGAAAGTGCTACAGAAGATTCAGGAGCATCCTCAGGATTAGACATTTTTCCTCCAAGTACTTCCTGATGAGCTCTCTCAGATTCATAATTAAGCATCTCTTGTAAAATATGAGCAACACCAATTTCCATTAGAGAGATAGCATGTAGTTGCACAAAAGAAAATATGTCAATTGACAAAAAAGAAAAGATGTACAATTTATGATTTAGTTGGATCAGAAGTATCATTTCCAACAAATGATGACTCAAGATAAAATATTTATTATCAAAAAAAAAAAAAGAGAGAGACTCAAGTTAAGATAATTTTTATTATTTAAAATTGTTTTGATAAATGAGATGAATCTATTATTTCGATTTGATACTTTTGGAATTGAGTGGATTTCCATATATCATTGCTTGTTTAGACTTCATGGAAAATTCCCCACTGCTGCCTCCCTTTGGAGTTCGGGACGAAATTTGCTGGTTAGTCTTGAGCCATAGGTTTTGTCATTAACAGAAGACATTTTATGTTACATCTCAACAAGTTTCACACTCTAAACTGAAAGAAGATTTCGAAAACAGAGCAATTGACCTCGAAGGATCCAGAAAGGGATGCCTAAGCCAATGGTTCCCCTGCTTAGAACTAACATTTAAATTAAAAGAGTTGTCTTTTCAGTCTGGACTATTAGCAAGGTAGTTAGTATTTGCCATCCTGTTCATGACTCCACCAATTGTTCACTTAGTTTTGAAGTCCTGAAGAACATCAGAGGAAGGACAGAATGATACTACTGCTAAGGGCCTTAGTCAAATTCATTAACAGATTGTAACTGAGGAACATAATGGGCTTTTGTGATGATTGAAGAGAATGATTTGGTGGAATTGTTGCATTATTAGAGCTGTGGAAGAACTGACAGGGAAGTATAACTGGTGATGTTGGAGAAATATACTCCAAAATAGACGTAGTAGTCAAATGTGTGGATACCCCTTAGGTTGTGACACAAGAAGCAGAAATGAGAAATGCAATGCAAATCAGTTTTTTTTTTTTTTTTTTGATAAATTATATATGTATTAGAAAAGGCATTCAAAAAGGGGGATGCATCCCTCAAAAGCTAGGCAAGGCCAAATAGGGGAGTCCAAAAGATCAACAATTTCCTCCATGGATTTACAATTTCTCCCTAAGACCCAACAAAAAAAGGGTACTGATGATGGAAAACTTCAATGTTCCTATAGGAGTCTCCTTTCCTTTGAAGGATCTCCTGTTTTTTCCAATCCATAGACACCACCAAACACACAAGGCACAACCCTGCAAAAATCACGGACTTGGACCTCCACACTATAACCTCTCCTAGCCTCTGAATGAGTGAAAGTGGCAGCCTCGTGTGTAGAATTAATTGAAGTGGCAACCTTATGTGTTTAGGAATGCCCTAGTTAAAATATTTTCTTGGTAGCTACCAATAAGTGTTGATGGTGTTTGGACATGGACATAGCTATGAACCCAGGTTGTGGTACAAGTACAAAGCTCAATTGCTTCGCCAGCCCAATGGATTTTATTAATGAAATTTATTGGAATAAAGGCCTCTTTTTTGAAGTATTAGTTTGTCTCAATTAACATGCTTAAAATAAGGAAGAGAACACTTGAAAAAGAAACTACATTTCCCTTACTCCCTTCTTTGCATATCCATACAGAAGTCATCTACTGTGGTTTTCTATTGTAGTCCTCGAGTTGTCCAACATTGAGTAAAAATCAAATGTCCTCTATTTCATTTGGATTTATTCTTCTTTCATCTTCTGAGTATGTTTTGAGAATGTAGTGATTTAGACAAGGTTATTTACAGTTAGCTTTTGTTCTTTTACGGGCTTCGTTTTGTTCTTTTAGTGGCTCTTAAATAAATTTTCAAAACTACATTCAATAGTTACGGTTGAAGGGTGGTCTATATGTTTTTTGTCTAGATTTATTATTTTGTTTAAAGATAGAAAAGTAAATTGAAATGCCCATAAGACAAGAAAATTAAAATTAAGAAGACAGTCCTTGTTTGTGCAAAACCAAGGATGCAGTAGAATTTAGACTGATTTGAACTTGATATGAATTGTGTGATTACTTACAGAAGTGATTCTAACTCTATGACTTCACATTAGGTATTAAGTACAAGTAAAGAAATAGAAGGGGAAAACGAGATAACCAGGAGACACTGCTTCAAGATGCAGAGGTCTTGGTTTGAGACCATTCCCAAGGATTTATCTGGTAATTGCCTGATAAGGAGGATTAGTGGGGTGCTCAAAGACACTCGGTTACATACTAGTTAGCAAACGAAAAAGTTAAAGAAAGAAAGGGCTCTATATTTGGCGTGGGTGTATTGTTCCTATATATGAAGTTATCAATCAATAGTTTCAGATTCATGTTTTTAATTTTATAATTGTAATGCCATTCTTAAATTTCTTTTTGTTTTCTCTCTTGGTTTACTTCCGCATATATTTTTTTTTTAACCCTTGATCAGATCTGTAAAATTCATTATATTCCAAGTTATTTTTTGAATGGGACTGTTGTGTTGTTTCAATTTTATGTTCTGAGTTTGTTTTTGTTTTTTCCTGTTTGACTTTTGAGAAGAGTGCAGTTCATCACTTGGAGGAAGTGCGTATGAAGGCAATACGTCTGGTATCAGATGCACAACCTTTTTTTTATTTTTAGAATCAACCGTTTGTTTTATTTTTATTCATTAATCTCTGTATTGCTTTTTTTGACAGGTGGCAAACAAGCTTTATCCTTTATCTTCGATTACTGAACAAATAGAAGATTTTGCAAAGGAAATGCTGCACTCTGTAATAAACAGTGATCATTCTCTTAACAGAACTGATACTGATGGATCTAGTACTGAATTGCAAAAGGTATTGGTTTAATGTTCCTATGTTGTGAGGTTCACTTGTGGATTGTGCACTATCTTGATTTCTAACTGCTTTTAGGCTGTTTCAAAGAGAAATTTTCTTTTGCATTTTGAAATCTAAAACTTTGTCCGTGAAAGTGTCTTCTTATATATCGGTATCAGAGTGTTCACCACATGTCACTTTGTTACATTGTTTACACAGATAGTGTTTGGATATTGGATATTCAGCAGTTTCCCAACAGTGTTTCTAATAAATGTAAAAGAAACAAAACAGCTTTCATTCACTGTCAAATATTTGTTTCTTCAGTTATTCAGTTTACCGTTTCTTTGTACTCCTCAGAGTTATTGATTTTTATTCCATGACATGGTATACTATACACTTGTGTTGGAATTGAACGTTAGTTTTACCAATACAAATTATACATCTGACTTGCATCTAACACTTTAAACAATAGTTGTTTTCTTTAGCTATCATTGAATAGTAAAGGTTCTGAAAAAGATTCAAAACATTTGACTCATGCTGAAGTTGAAATTTGTTCCAAGTTCGGCATTAACATTTATTCAGGCATGTACTACTTAATAGTTGTGATCTATATCTTGAAATGTTGGCTAGCATAATCATCTATGTGTCAATAATGTCGAGGATAACGGTGATTAATTCATTTCTTCTTCTTCTTTTTTGGTCTAGAATTAGAAGATTTACCCTACATCAGCCCATCCATGGGCTGAGGGAACACCTTATTTTTTAGTGTGCCCTTGTGGGGTAATTGAACTCCAAGTCTCCTATTTAAAGAAATGCCCTTGATTTTTATCTATATAATGCTTGTGATATATCCATGATATCTGATTTTCTGGGGGTGCTTTTAGTAGTGGAAATGGCTGTTGACTTAGAAAGGTGGCCATGCCTGAAATCCGAACATGGGACAATTATATGCCACAAACATTCTTTGCTTTTGTGTTGATTTAGGGGAGAATGATAAGAAAGTTGTATTTATATTTTTTTGATAGAATTTGATGAAGTGGTAAAAATATGTATTATAGTGTGGCACTGACACAATTAAGATGTTTCGAATGCTTAAAAGTGGATTCAGTTGGAAAGTACCCCCCTTTCTTTAACTGCCTGGTGAGAGATTTCTATCCTGATTAGTTTCATGCTTTTCTCCTAGAACATTATGTATTGTAATTGGGTGATAATTAAATGATATTCATACTGTGGGATGGCTTTTGGATTTTGTAATTCTACCTTGAGTGATGTAGAAAGTGTTGGAACTTGATCCTGGCTTATCTTTGTAATATATGCAGGATCCAGATTTGGAAAAACCTTCAAATGAAAATCCATCAGTGAGTGCCATCGCCAAAGATATTTCAGCTGATACTCATCCACCAAGCACATCTGAAAGCATATCATCCTCATTGTCTGAGGCACAGCGGTGCATGTCACTATATTTTGCCCTATGTACAAAGGTGTCACTTTATCTTATTTATTATTCTTTGCTGGTGCTAGCAGTCAACTCTAAATTTGTAGTACTATATTAAAGCAACTTTTGTATTTCCTGAGCTAACTTATTGGTGTATACTGATTGACAGAAGCACACCCTTTTCCGCCAAATATTTCTTATATATAAAAGCACATCAAATTCAGTAAAGCAGGTATGTTGAATTTTTTATTTTTTAACAGTATGTAAACTTGTTATTAACAAAATTTTCACCATTTTTGTCCTTGGCTTGTCCTTATGGTGTAGGCAGTTCATGGTCAGATCCCAATACTAGTTCGTACCATTGGTACATCGTCCGAACTTCTTGGAATTATTTCAGACCCACCAACTGGAAGTGAGAACCTTCTGATGCAGGTGGTTGTTTTTCTTTTATCATTATTTTTTATTTAGTGCTTGCACAAGATGAAAGGAATAAACCCACCTTTGTTTTTGTTCTCTTGCAACAGGTTTTGCAGACACTGACAGATGGGACTATTCCTTCTGCTGAACTAATATTTACTATTAGAAAGTTATATGATACAAAACTAAAGGTAGAGTGTGTGATTTGCTTCAAATTTGATATGAAGTAAAGGCTTTTTGCTAATCTGTGTTTTCCTTTGTTTCATTTCAGGACGTAGAAATTCTAATTCCAATATTGTCATTCCTCCCAAAAGACGAGGTTTTTTTATTTTTTTAACATCTAATATGTTTAGTGTTTTCCATTTATTATATTACTATTATGTTTCTCTTGTTGACATATTCTTTATCTAATGAAGTACATATTAGTGAAAGAAACAAAGTTATATATAAAAAAATTATTATTTTAAACAATAAACTTATGTATTAGCAATACATGTCCATAGTTTTTTTTTTTTTCATTTGTAATATTGTTGGCACATTATTTTAGCTAGATTCGCCATGTTAGCCTAGGATGTCCATGTCGACACAACAGTATACGGACACTAACACAGGATATGGGTCGTACGCCCTTTCGCATTTATCTGGCACGGGTAATGAAGAAATGCTCATGGAATGGCAAACGAGAGGGCCTTCCAGAAATGCTCTAGTCTTTTTGCCTAGTTGAATGGCAAGCCTGTCATTGCATATCAACTTACTTAAGTAACCCAACAGCTAGTTTCCTGGAGGGCAATCTTGGAGCACACGTGTTAAATCTCAGGAGAGTTCGAAGTAATTTTGGCCTACCTTGGCAACTGTATGATAATTACCCAAACCTTATGATTTGTTTCGTAGGAGGGAAGGATGAGGGAAGATAGGGAGGATGGAACAAGGCTCCATTGTTTGGTAGGAGGGAGAGCTGAAGGGAAGAGAAGGATGGAGGGATGAACCATTCCTCCTGGCCCACCATTTTGCTTCCGAGAGAGAAAAATAAAAAGTTACATAAATTTGAAAAGATGTCCTTGCCCTAATTTTAATGTTTTGATTTATATATTTAAGGGTATATTAATAATAACAACATCTATTTACTTCCCTTCCATCCAACCAAACAAAAGGTGGTTAGTGTAATTTACCCTATAATTAAATTGACCCAAAATTAGACCCATGGACAAGAACTAAAGTCCACGTCCGACAACTCAGAAAACAATCTTGACTCCTAATTCGTAAAACATGCTCCATGTAAAATTCCTGATTTGCCCCCTTCCCTTGATCTGCATCACATTTGTTGTAAACTTTGCAAGGACTATGTACTTTAAAAAGAAAAAGCTCCTATCATTGTTAGAGTTTCAACTCTTTTATTGGCTAGTTCCAAGTGCTCCCATTCCAGATCATGTGGACCTCCACCTGCATTTACTCTCTCTCTCTCTCTCTCTCTCTCTCTCTGTGTGCGCGCGCGCGCGCGTGCTCACATGTTTACGTGCACCGTATTGTGTCCATTTGTGAATGAGCTTTCCAAAAGTCACTGTTGCAAGCAGTTATTTGTTCACTTATTATGCATTCCAATTGTCCTGTAACCACACCCCCCCACCCCCCCCCCCTCTTCCCTTTTTTTTGACAAGTCCAATTGTCCAGTCCTTTAAACTTCCCAACTCCTAAGCTTCTCTTGACTGACTACACTCTTTGTCTATCATTAATCTTATTTTCATTTTTTGCTTCTTCCTCATCTGTTTTTCATGATGAATGCTTTACTCTCCTTTATTATTATTATTATTATTGTTATTTATTTTTTTGCAGATTTTACTGATCTTTCCACATCTTGTAAACCTTCCATCAGACAAGTTCCAAGCTGCACTTACTCGTGCTTTACAGGTAGCTTTCTTTCCACAGGTCTCCTTGATCTGAGTATTGTTGAATTATTTCGAGTATTGATTAAATTTGTAATGTGACTATACAAATATTTAAAGATTGTGACACGCTCTTGCAATTGACTATGTTCTTTTCTGATTGAAAATTTCTCATGACCCCCCTCTCCCCGTACTCTGTATAAATTTCTGAGTTCTGGTGCATGGTCGTTCTCACTTGAAAAAAAAATATATTAAATAAAAAGCAAAGAAAGGCTATAAATATGCAAGCTGGTAGGAATAGAACGATTCTGATTTTACAAATTCAATTTCTATCCTTGTACTTGCATATGAATTACTTTCATCAAGCCTTCTGCTTGAATAGATTCAAATGCTATCTATATCATCAGCAGTAGTAAGAGTGTATCAATTACTGTAATCTTGGCCTTCTTAGAATGAATGTTTCGAACTGTCCCGAAATGTCTATGTTACATGCATAATGTATCACCTCCACTTGATTTCATGCAGGGCTTTATTTTTATCTACATTTTCTTTATTCTTTTTTGAAGATTTTTTTTGGTTATATGTTTATTTGATAGGAGTATTCTTTTGCTCCTAACTCACATTTTTATTTTGTAAACTTTGAGGTTTCCACCTTTTTAAGTTCCCTAATATTTTTGTATTGTACTCTAACCACATTCTGGTAACATTTACCAAAAAAATTATTACCCAGGGATCAACTCATTCTGGTCCAGTGCTCACTCCCACTGAAGTACTAATTGCCATCCATGGGATTGACCCTGACAGAGATGGAATCCCCCTAAAGAAGGTATGTTTTTTCCTCTGTTAGATTTTCCTTTTCCATTCTGCACCAAGTGGCGTGAATTAAAGAATTTTTTCCTTCGAGCAGGTTACGGATGCATGTAATGCTTGTTTTGAACAACGGCAAATATTCACCCAACAAGTTCTAGCGAAGGTCTTGAATCAACTGGTCTGTAGCATTAGCAACTTGTTAACTTTATGCAACAAGATTTTGTCACTTTCTCAATTCACAAATGACCAGAATTCTCTCTGCAGGTTGAGCAGATTCCTCTTCCTTTACTGTTCATGCGTACAGTATTACAGGCTATAGGAGCTTTTCCAGCCCTGGTAAGAAATCAAATAGTTGATCTTTTGTTTCCTCTTGATAAAGATATAGCCATTTGGTAATTGTTTGAACTTATGGGTATATGAAATCGTATGTGGTCTGGTGTTGCTGAGTTTTTAATTTTCTTTTTACATGTAAATAAGCAATTGCTAAAAAGCATATGCAAAAAACAAAACAGTTGGATTGTTACAATTTCGTTGTATCTTTGTACATAAGATGCTGACAACTTTGACCTCAACCAAGCATTGAGCTGTTGACGAAATTTTTAAGTGGAATTTGAATGCGCAGCCAGAAACCAGCCTTGGCTCCACCTGCAATTTAGCATTTGGCTTTGGTCCTTATTACCCCTATTGGATTGAAAATTTCTTCATTGATCTATTAGATGATGGGAAATTAAGTCTTTCCCCCTATCAATATCATATTTTTCAGTTGTATTTCAAATTCTGAAGAGTTGACTTGGTCACTATGTTGCAGGTGGACTTCATAATGGAGATTCTCTCTCGGCTTGTTAGCAAGCAGGTGCATATTTAAATACAAGTACATTAATTGCAAGTTATTTCTTAGTTCATACTTAGTAACTGATTTAACATACTTACCGGGGAAAAAAAAACACTGATTTAACATGCTGCTGCAGATATGGAAATACCCAAAGTTGTGGGTAGGATTCTTGAAGTGTGTTCTCTTAACGAAGCCTCAGTCTTTCAGTGTGTTGCTTCAGGTATTTCTTATTCCTTGCCAACGTTTTAGAAGTTAATATTTCGTGGCATTTTGGCCCATTCATCAGTTGGCAGTGTTTAGACAGTACTGAGAAAGTATATGGAAAGCCTTGTCCCAGGAGAATTAGTTGAAGCATCCCCTGCTTGGACTCGTGGTAGGGTCATTACTTGGGGAATTTAACCAGAGGGTGTTGGGACGGGTGGACTAGATATGGACCTAATACTAGCATTATTTACACCAATTGGCTGTTCTCAGAATTCGCACTTGCATTCCCACGCTCCCTGGCATTGCACTAAACAATGGCTCCTAGCTTGGACTTGTAGTGTCAGGAGAAAATCTCTCTTCTCAATGATCACCTTCCTGTTTGTCACCCAAAATTGTGTATAAAGATTGTAGGCTCCACAGATTATGTTCAACATCTCGTACATATTTTTGTTTACTTTTGCTCTTCCTTTGTTGCTTCAAGTGCTTTGTCGATGAGTTGATTTTACGTATTTTTGTTTACTTTTGCTCTTCCTATGTTGCTTCAAGCGCGTTGCAGCAAAGCACTTATAATTTCAATGGGTTGACTGCGACTCTAATGAGAAAGTTATGTTTTTTCAATCTGTTTCTGACACTGTGTTCTTGTCTTTCAGTTGCCTCCAGCACAGCTTGAAAATGCATTGAACAGAACAGCAGCACTGAAGGCTCCTTTAATTGCTCATGCTAACCAGCCAAACATACGATCTTCTCTTCCAAGGTTCAGTAAAAAACTCAGCTTTCATGCACAAGAAGATTGAATCGGTCTGCATCACTTCATTTTCAAACAGCTTCTTGAGCATTTCTGATTCAGTAATCGGATTGGATGTTCCATTTTCAGGTCTGTGTTGGTGGTTCTTGGAATTGTGTTGGATTCTCAGAGTTCAAGTCAGGCACAAGCAACTCAGACTCAGACGCAAACATCTCAGACACAGACGCAAACAACTCAGACACACACACAAACTCAAACAGGAGACACGGGCAATTCAGATAAGGAGGCGGCAACCAAAGAATCATCTACTGCCAGCTAAGTTGAGGAGTTGAGATGCATCTGCTTGCTTGGTAATATCATTAATTCCCTTTACTCTACAAAAACTTGTGTTACTGATTGAAGAGACAATGGTGATTTTTTTGCTTCTGTTTCATTTTGTAAGATGAATACACACTTCCAAATTGAAATTGCTGAGCCAGCTGAAGGGCTTTGTTGCTGAGCATTTGGCTCAGCTACGCTCCAAACAGAGAGTTTCCCCCACAATGCATCACTTAGATGACGGGGTGTAAGAAAAGAAGCCACCTGTTGTACAACTGGCATGAGGGAATAATCCTGCCCTTATTAAAAGTTGCTGCTCATTCTGGGAATACACCAACTGGAGTAGTTCAGCAGGAGTCTCACAGTTACTAGAATTTTGTAACATGATGGTTGGAGTTTTTGCTACTAGTACATGTGCTGTGTAACTTATAATATATAGGATCGGTTCTGTTGTATTGTACAGTTTAATGAGAAAAGCAATAATAACGGCGACAGCCTAGCTAGAATTTGCTGATCCTTTATGCATAATTGATGTCATTTTTTTTTAAAATATATATCAATTGGGTACCCTGTTGACAATTTTAGTTAACAGCAGTAGTTGGGTCACAAAGGGAAATTCCAAGATTTCCGTTTGGATTCACTGGTTGAACAACTTGAGCAGCTTGTGTGGGGTGAGAAAATAAACATTTCTGGGTACCAGAATTACACCGGGGATTCTGAGACTACTCATATTTATAAACCTTAATAATTCTTGACAAATATTGCCAATTTTTTATAAAATAATTTGCTATGGCCTAATCAGGGAAGAATGAATTACAAACGAACTGGAGTGAAAATGGACGTCTTTAATAAATGTAGCTATTGGTTTAGCAGGAGCTGCAGAAGCAACTTTAGCAACATCACACATTCACACGGCGCGTACCAGCTCAAGTGACTTGGGAAGATTCTCATCTTATGCTGTCAAAAAGTGTGTAGAAATTCCATGCGTTTGAAACCATTCTTGCATGTGGTACTTTTCAGAAAGTACAGACCTGACATCTTTCTGCACACACAGGTTCTTGAGGAGTGGAAGGATGACATCTAAAAGCTATGCAAACCATGACACGGCCCAAAAACAATGAAAGTATGATTTAGTAAAAATCATGTACTCATGTGAACTGTTTCCCTTCATTGGAAATAATCTTATACCTGTTCATCGTGTGGTTGTCGAGCAGAGAATGGAACACATGGTATTCCATTTGATGGTTGCAACAAAAAACTGAATGGATTGTTATCAACAATAACTATTCGACCAAGATTCTTTGATAAACAAGACAGATCCTTGACATTTTCTCGAAATTCCCTATGATTCACAAAATGGGAAAGAATTATCAGTGCAAGTTAATCTTGATAAATCTTCTAACATGTATGAGTAATTTACGTTATTGTCAAACCTTAATATCAGGTTACATTCTACATGCATGCGTGCACACAAATGAACGAGTGCATATGATACTAAAACAAAAGCACCCACATGCACGGAGGTGACGAGCATAGATATTCTAAAACTTAGCCCCAATAATTGTGAATACAAACAATATACCATCCAGATACCGTGGTATAAACACATAATGAAGCTATAAAAATAGCAATACTGAGCAAACTAGAGCTCTGTAACATGCCAAGGCTCCAATATGATATATTTAAGGAAAATGATAAACATCATGATGAAATAAATTTCGTGATACTTATCATGAAAAACGTGGCAACAGCCTTGTTAGTCAAGTCTCTTTTTTTTCTTAGTTAAGTCTCTTATTTTTTTCTTTTTCAATTTCCTTCTCGAAGATTAAAATTATTAGGAAACTTACCATTCGGTTCTACGACCTCTTCCTTCCCCGTCTATTTCATATTGGTGAATTCCAGCGAGTCATCCGATGGTCAACGGTGACAATCACCCCAAATTTTCTCCATTTCTATTTAAATTAAACTAGGAATACTAATGGTGCCCATACCCAAAAATCTTTGGAGGTTCTCTTAGCGCTGGGGGTATTCGGCCAGGAAAGGCTAAGGAAGATTTCCATAGCAATAGTGCAAAATTTGCCCAAAGAGTTGAATGATCATTTGTTAAAGAACCACCGTAATCACAATTTATGAATTTTTGAAATGGACACCAAACCAAGAACTGAACAAAGACATATATTTACAGAAATTTCCAATTTTGTTAACAATGGTTGAGAGTTTATTCAAGCAATCCTTGGATAGTGATTAGGTGTGGTGAGAAGACCAACATATTGGCAGAACAACCTTAGTTGTTGTGGCTGGAGTCTATGGAAATTTTTGGGTTATGGGCACCATTAGTAGTCCAGGTTTAATCTAAATTGAATTAGAAGAAAATCTAGGGTGATTGTCACCGTCAACCATCAGATCACTCGACGGAATTCACCACCATAAAAATAGATAAGGAAGAGGGTGGATGACTCGCCGGAATTCACCAATATGAAAAAGATGGGGAAGGAAGAGGTTGTGGAATCGAATGGTAAGTTTCCTAATAATTTTTATCTTCAAGAAGGAAATTGAAAACGTAAAAGAAAAAGAAAAAATAAGAGAAGAGGCTGTTGCACGTTTTTCATGATAAAAATCATGAAATCTATTTCATGATGTTTATCATTTTCCATTAAATTGACTCTATGCAATCTTCACTAATTTTACACTCTTGACCAAAAGCAATAATCAGCTTAAGAACTCTTGTTTGGTGGATATTACTCATCCAATGGGCCCCATATCTATGTTTCCTACATTAGATTAGAACGTATTGTGTTTTCCTCTATTCCTGTTAAAGTAAAGCATTTGCCACCACCGTAGTGATGAACCACTAGCCTTCGTGTGAAGTATACATGCCAGTTGCACTCAAACGGTAGAACCCATCCCACCTTGTCAGTATATAAAAGAATTTAAAAGAGAAAAGGACAAAAAAAAAAAATCATTTTTTCATTTTTTTTTCAAATAATCAACCAAAGCATTCACACAAGGGAATTTCCCTCCTGAATACCTAGAGGACAATGAATAAAATACAATGGTTTCAACTTAAATGCTGGTAAATCCACATCTTCAAAAGATCTTCTATTCCCATCCCTCCAAGTGCGCCAAAACAAACTTAAAGGAGACATATTTACAAAAGGAACCCTTGCTACCAAATGAACATCCCCTAGACAATAACAAATCAAAAGTCTGCTCACCATCTCAGGCTAGACCCACTAAACCCCAAAGAGGGGGGGAAACAACTCCAAATGTCCCTTGTAACGGAGCAATGCAAGAGAAGATGATTTGACTGTTTCTTTGACCCTCCAATACATACAACTCTCATCCCTGTTCCATCTCTCCTCCTTGTGTCCAACTCCCTTATGTCCTCAACACCCTTGCCTTACGAATTTAACCATTGCCGAAGAATTCCATACTAGAGATCCTCAATCAACTTGATCTTACTAGAGAGAAAATAATGTAGAAAGCAAAACATTATATCCATTCCACCAATTCCTAACCCCACCGATAAAACCCTCATCCTTCAGCCACATATTCTCAAACCGGAACATCCCTTTTCCCCTTGGCAATATCTCACAATCCAATATGTCTTGGAAGTGATACGCATAAGCCAAGGCAAGAGAGATTGAGTAGCATCTGAGAAGTGCTTCGCGCAGTCAGGAAATAAGAAACCTGGCTACTTTGGGATTGACTAATATCAATCTTGCTAATCCAAGTGTATTTGTCACCCGTAGAGGAAGGTCAACTAACCATGAGAATTAATGAACTAGCAAAATTGTTTCGGGAGGCATAAAAAAGACTGAGCAACCCACTCTCATATGGAAAGCTCAAAACATTAAAATCTCCCACCCTCCATCAACACACCATGGGCAGCCTCATATACAAAAATAATAATAATAGCTGCCAACTTGAACAACAAGCCCTCTCTCTCCAAATAACACACCAAGTTACCTCCCCCCCACCACCCCCCCCCCCCCCCCCCCCCCCCCGCGCCTCCTCTTCTTCTTCTCCAAAGAATGGCCAATGAAAACCATCTCCTTTTTTACGATGCCTTTAACCCACAAAACCCAAACAACCTCAGCACGCAACAACAAGAAGAGAAAGTGATCTACAAAATTACCACCTCATACACCCTCACCACATCCTTGGCCAATTTCTTAGTCTCTTGAAGTCAAACTACATTAGCTTTCCACTCCTTGAACACCAATTTCATCGCTGAACTCTTTTCCGTAGCATTCAACCCTGGGATATTCCAAGATAAAATCTCATCTTCATTGGGAAACCAATGATGCCCACACCCCCTTCGTACCAGTCCCCTACTTCCCTGCCTTTTCTCCTTCCCCCATCATAATCAATAGAGCTGACCAGATTTCTAGCTTCTCTTCCTTTTTGACGTTGATACTAACTTAGGTAAAATACAAGTCATACACAAATAATTCAACCCTTGCGGAAAAAAAATAAAAATAAAATCAGCACTCTTAACGAGTGCTATGGTCGATTTTCCTTTTTAAATAACTAATGGTAGTAAAATCTTAATTGTAGTGGTAATAAATTATATAAATAATTGAACGCGCCTCTATGTATTGTCTAAGCATTTTAGCTATGCATCAATTGGTACACAAGTTGATATAAGTAACAAGTTATCAACAATAGGTATCACAATATGTCTAAATATTTTCAGTGATCAAGACAACCAATATTTGTATTAGACTATCCGATACTGTAGACAGTAGCACCATGCCTAATAATATATAAAATAGGTCAAAAAATAAAAATATAACTGATTCTTAGAATAGCTTTCTCCTTCATGAGCAAAATTTTTGTCCAAGTTCCCCGCATTAAATTTGTATCAAATACACTTAATACATATATATTTATATATAAAACCAATCACATTCAAAGAATAGTTATGGTTGCACAATGCATAGCAATATCATATGAATTTGATTGTCAAAGAACAATAATTACTGTTATTTAGAAGAAATACTTACGTGCTGACTGTTGAAGGCCGATAAAGACGAAAGGCAAACCGCCTTTCCACATCTATTTTATCAACAAGTGGTCTAGCATAATCTGTGTCATCCCAAAGAAAATAAGTTACAAACAGGTAGGTAGGTAAGTAGAGAGAGAGATTATAATAAAGATCATGGGACTGGTGATATAGCGAGCATACCTTCAAGACCAGCTGTGAACAAAATAAGGTCAGCGAATTCACCAATCTGTTTTAAGAACTCGTGCAAACCTGGTCGCTCAAAGACAGTCACATAACTGACCTTACGTTTACCTTCACATTCCTTCAACACGGTAAGATAATCCAAATTATACATTTATTAAATAAGCAATGATTAAATACAACATGTCTCCCAGTTGTTGCCTGGTTCGGCGTTTTAAAGCTTGAACATTTGTTTCATTTGTGCGGGTTCAGCAAGGGCAAGAACAAGCAAAAGACTAACCTTGTCTGAAGATACACATTCCAACTCAAAACACTTTAACCCAGCTTCTATTGCTTGAGTACGAACAATGGCAGGTAAGCTAGATGTTTCATATGCACATACTAGGGTTTCATCTAAGTCAAGAACTACCTGCATGGCAAAGTCAGAATCAAGCTATGGTTCTGGTAATATGGCAGGCTGTTACCACAAGAAGGATTTTTGCATTCAATATATGATTTATCTTTCCTTAATTTGGTTAAACTTAGGCATACACATGAATCTGGATATAAGCAGAACCACAGTAAAATATATCATACTGGGATACCAAAAGCTCTGGATAATACCCACATCACAATTTACTAACCAAGCTACCAAGTCAACCTAACAAATGTTTTACATAAATAAAATAACAAATCATCATGATTTTCCTCTTATGAAGTCCAAAAGAATTTCATAGAAGGTAAAATTTATAAAAGATCCCATCAACTGTGAACTGAAGCATCAGTTTTTAATCATCATGGCTTAGAGTTATCATAAGATAGCCTTGAACTTGAAGTTCAGCTCATAGCGACAAAAGAAGAGTTACACTTACGTTGGCGCCAATTTGGTCCTACTCATGAAGAGGACTGGGTAGATTGGACACTAACTTTACTTGTGGCATTAATCTTGAATACAGTGATTCCTTTAAGACTCAAACCATGTTGTGAAGCTTGATAGCATGAATTTTTTCAAATTTTTACCATTGAACCTAGCAATGCCCCTTTAAGCACAATGGAGGTAAAGTCCATGAGCTAAATATGATATATAACATGCGCATATTAGGTCCACGTGGCCACTATAAAATAGATTCTATAGAGGATGGTCACTAAGTGAGAGTCCGCTAACTCCATAATTTCCAATTTCCGTATTAATTATTTAATTTATAGAGTATCTACATTAATTCACTGTTTACTTACCCATTCAGACATTTTCATAGAATATTGTTAAAAACCATGTATCCAAAAAGTTTAAGCTTTTACAAAGACTATAACTCAAGTAGTTATGTACTCTACCATGCCTTCTCATGTGTGATCAGATTTTGATCCAAGACGTGTAACAATCACAATATTTCAAAGTGATGGTGAGGTTTGAATTTAGGACCCTACCTGTTGTGGTACCATATTAAGCACCATCAATTCTAAACATCTTAAGTTGTTAGAGATCGCGTAGCTCCTGTATTAATATACTCTATTAAAAATTTAAAAAAAAATCAAAATAAAATTTGATGAGCTCCTTAAACTCTAGTTTACATTCAGTATCATGCCAAACATCAAGTCCCAAATGGGACAAATGAGTAGTCAATTTCATTTCCAGAAAAACTCACATCTACTCAAATGTTATATCGACACAAATTAATCTTAAAAACATTTATATCAAATCCTCAAGTCTAATCAATAGCCAAACAAGATGAATCTCAAAACCACAAATCCAACTTAATGTGCGATACAGAGAGAGTATAAGGACATATTGCACAAATTTCAAAATTAAAAATCAAAAAATGATCATCAATTCATCACCAAGTCCATACCGTTAGCTTCTCAATGTGCTGATCATCGCCACCGCCACCGCCACCACCATCATCGCAGACGTTATCGACGCTAACGTCCGCCGGTGTTAGGGGAATTTCAACGCAAGGCAAGGGCTTGAAGGAAGGAGAAGAAGATGAGAGAAGAGAGTGCCGAAGGCCTATGTAAGAGAGAATCTGAGCCAGGGAAGGCGTGAACCTCACGATCTGATGGCAGATTTGGAAGAAAAACGACAGCCAATTCATCAGAGCTCTCCATACTTGCAGAGGCCGAGGCACATACACCTCCGCCTGCGCCATACGGAGAGAGAAAATCTATATTTGTGTATGTGTATGTGTGACTATATATATAGAGAGAGAGAGAGCTGATTATGGTGGTGGCTCTGCCATACAGAGAGCGTTCATCCATTTTTATTTCATGTTCAGACAGGTAAGAAAATGAAATGGAATCTATAAAATATATGTTTATATAGGGATTAGATTTGGTGTTCCTGCAATGAATTTTATACTGGTGCTGGATGCGATGGTAGATACCAAAATGAATAGTCGGGGTCAGCATCTAATCGTATTCTGGCGTGTCACGGCTGTTAACCAATTACTCCTATTATTTAGTTTCTTTCTTACGCTAATCTATTCTTATGACCTTTAAATACACTATTAAAAACTCTCAATTGTCTTTATAAAACAATAATAATATATATAATACAGGAAGTACTTATAATGGATAATTTTAAAAACTCTTAATTTATTTTGGTATACAAAAAATTGTAATATTTGTAAGAAAATATATGACTATTTGTTGATTAAGTAAATATTAAGTGAGTCGGACATATTATGTCATTGATAAATATTTATACAATCGACATCTATCATTTTATTTTATTTTATAATAACATTTTCTTTATTTAAGTGGAACTATTTTATGTGAATGAAGTAAGTAAATTTGATGTACATATCAATTACTTGATATGCCTACTCAATTATCACATAGTAAATAATTGAATACTGCCGCATAGGAAATACTGTTGGAGTATTATATGATTTCTAATTTATTAGATATTGATTTTCTAGTTGTGTAAAAGTGGATGGTTTACATTTAATCAGACAATCAATTTCAAGAGATGCTACGGAGGATTTACACTCCTCATGATAAATATATAAATCAAACACATAATAAATAGAAGCTTAATTGTAAGTGTTAAATGTTGTTAAAAAATAAATAAAATAACAATATTTTTTTCTTAAGGTATTATATTGTCAACTACAGTAATCCTCTCTTGAAATTTTAAATTTAATACCAAATTCGTGTTCTTCTAATGAATAAAGTAAGTTCAGTATTTCTCTTCTAAATCATTTAATAACTGGTCAACAAAGATTAAGCTTTATGTAGCATTGGTGGTAAAAATATTTAATGCTCCTAAAACCAATATAATTGATTTTCCGTCCTTTTTTTTTTTTTTTTTCAATACCAATAATTATGATAATGCTCTTGGAATACTTGAACCCTTCACATAGAAAATAGTATTGCACTATTAAATACTTTCTCATTTATTAGACACTGATTTTCTAAGTGTGTAAAAGTGGATGGTTTACATTTAATCACACAATCAATTCCGACAATTTAAGCTCGAATTCATTAATTCACTAAAATACCATTCATCTATTGCGTTTGACTTTTATTTTAGAAGTAGGATTTTATACAAAATACAAGAAATGAGGAAGATTTTAATACAAAGTACAAGAAATGTTGGATTCTAATGCTACTCCTAACAAAAAGAATTGCAATGTAAATGAAAAATTAAGTAAAATGACTAAGTATCAAATTACAAAAGTATGAAATTTGTTATATGGTAGTGGATCTCTTGTGCAGATCTCTCCAACAGTACATGTTGTTCAAATTCAAACATTCAAACACTTTTTGTCTAAAGACTTCCAAATGCACGGATTTTCCGATCAATACCTTGTGTGAAATAGAACTCCTTAATGACATGACACTTCGTATATGATGAAATTAGTGAATTATTTTAAGGAAAAAGTATAATAAACCCCCCTGAACTATTGGCAAAAATGCAAAAAACCCCATGAACTACAATTTATGCAAGAAACCCCCTGAACTATGATTTTTTGTTGCAGATAGCCCAGTCCGGCAAGAATCCGTCCAAAAATGGCCGTTATTAGTGCATGTGGTTGTCACGTGCTGTACAATATAAGTTTTATAAACAATAATACCTTTGAAAACTGAAAATACTAAATTGCCCATAGTTTGATCGTTACAGCCAAATAGCCCCTTACCTTTACCCTCACCTATAAAATTCCTAAATCGTTTGAACCCTAACTCAGACTACTCTCTTGGGTCGCGATCTGTTAATCTTTATCATTCTCGGTTGGTGGTCATTTACTCTTCCCTCCCACTCTCGATTCGTGTTTGACTGAAAGGTAATCAAGTATTGTTATCTCTTTGGGTTTGTTTTTGTGTGTTTTGATATATATATACATACACACATAGATATACATATATATATACTTTTCCTTTGTTTCTTTGGGTTTGTTTTTGTGTGCTTTCACCTTATTTCTAGGGTTCTTTGTTTATTATTAATCACAAATAGTTTGCCCCTTTTATTTATTTTTATTTTATTTTTTTATTTTTTTGTCTCAGTTTTCATAAATTTTTGAAGGTTTTTGTAATGGACATTACTGAGCTTTGAAGGGTTCAGTTTGTGAATAAGAAGTGTTGGTGTGGCATAAGAGTTGTTTTATGCATTTCTGAATCCGACAACAATCCTGGGAGACTGTATTACAAGTGCAATAGAAAGCATTGCAAATACTTTGAATGGGTGACTCCTGTTACTATAGTAAACCAAATTGGAGCTCATCCAGTAGCTGCACAAAATGATCATCTTCTGCCTAATGAAGTTCATCCAGTAGCTCTCAATTCCATCATTGCATTTGCAAAGTCTGTGATTGTCGGAAGCTTACTTTTGTTTGGCTGTTCTATTTTATTAGTTTTACTTATTCTTTTTGCTCTTGTTATGAAGTGAATGGCTTTGGGTGAAGTTTTTTTTTTTGGTGATTTTGGGTTATTGTATAATCTTGTGGAGGTTTGGGTAATATGGTTGTAAGTTAGTTTGTTATTGGATGGTTTAGAGGGTTGGGTTGTAGCTTCATGAATGAAATCCTCTTGTAATATTTTGACTATTGGAATGAAATGTTGTGTTTTGATTAATGAACTGGAATGGAATTGCAATGCCTTAGAACTACTTTGCATTGAAAGCAATTGGAGCTATATATCACACAAATGATGGCACTTGGAGACAATAAATAACAGAGTGCCTTACACACTGCTATGTATTGACAAAAAAATTGGAAGAAAAGAATAGCACTTGGAGACACTAAATGACATAATGCATTATTCACTGCTCTGCATTGACAAAAAAATGGCAAAAAATATATATATAAACATAACACCACATACCATAACACCACATGACAACAATCATAATTAAAGAAATGAATAAAAGTTGGAGACACTAAATGACATAGTGATTTACTCTCTGCTATACATTGACAAAAAAATGGAAAAAAATAAACATAGCACCACATGACAACAATCATAATTAAAAACATAGCACATTTCCTGAACTTAAACATTCATAACATCACCCATAGTACTTAACAACATACATTCAAATAGAAAATAGTACCAAATCCTATGTCATAGAAGTTAACAATTACAATCACCAAAAAACATAAAAGTTAAGTTCATCTTGTCAGAACAAGGCATAACTATAGCAAAACAACCTCTAACAGCAGCTTGGAGTGACAAAAAACATTTACAGCTGCAACAAGTAGGCAGAAGTGGCCATAAACAAAAATTGTAGTGGGTGGCCAGTCAACAACAAAAACCATCAACAGAAGCTACAATTAGTGTCCTTCTTCACTACTGACAAGCATATTCACTATCCATCATTGACCTGTCACTTAACCAAGCAATTAAATAAAAATCTGGAATAAGTCATTATCAAAATACATAGAACATACACTTTGTGTTTTGATTATACCTTGAAGAAGATGATGCTTGAGTTTGTGAAAGCTGAGAAAATGGTATGTTTAGAACCTAAAATGCAAATCAGTAGTAAAAGTTAGCTTATTTTAAGGTATACAGTACATGAAAATTATAAGTATAGATCACATAAGAATACCTTTTCTTGTGAAAGTACTGCAGCAGGAACTTCAAGTCCTCTTGCTCTTCCCCTTGAACCCCTTCTTGCTCTTCCTCTAACTGGCATCCCCTCAGGTCCTATTCCTCTTCCTCTTCCCATAATTGGTGGTCTACCTCCCCTTCTTGGTGGAGGTTTCTCAATGACCAATGGTTCAACTAATTGACATGTCCTTGAGTTGTAACCACTTTCCTTACATTTTGAACATTTTAAATATTCCTTTGACCTACTAAGCTTGGTTACACCCTTAGGGTCATCATTCTTCTTATTCCTAACCTTCTTTGGTCTACCAGTGGGTTTCCTATAGTATGGTGGAAGCACTGGGTGAATAGGGTCTGTTTTCATCAACCTCCCATTGGAATTAGCAAGATTATACCAGCATAGAACTTCAAATAGGTTTCTCTATGGTAGTATGGGTGAATGGTAAATAAGCTTGCTACAACATACTTACAAGGGATATCAATCACATTCCAGACCCTACAACTGCATGATTTATTCTCAATGTCAACTGCCTCACTTATACCATAGGATTGTACCTCATATTTTTTATCACCAGCATATTGCACATTACACATTCTAGCTTGAAGTTTGACTTTGTTCAAATGATTTTGTACTTCTGGACATAATAACCCACGCTGTGCTAGCATCCATTCTCTCTTGCATTGGAACCTTAGCATTAGGTGTCTTCTAATCCACTCCAACATGAGTATGATTGGCTTATCCCTTGCTTCAACAAGAACTGCATTCCAACTCTCACACATGTTGTTGATGAGCACATCATTTTTTGAAATATGTGTGAACCCTGACCAAGACTACAGTTCAGCTGGCACCTTCTTCAACTATTCATAAGCATCAACATTCAAGTCATTTATTTTCCTCATATGTTATTCAAAATCTGCATCTGTATAAGACCTTGTTGCCTCCCATAACTCATTTTTTAGTTGTTGTCTTTTGAATTTGAGCTTGAAATTGTCATACAAATGCCTCACACAAAATTTGTGGTCTGAACCTTCCATCATGTGAGCAAAGGTTTCTACTAAACCCTGCATATGAGATAAAATACCAGAATATTTATGTTAACAAAAACAACATCAACCTGTTAAAAACATTAATTAAATAGTAAAACACAATTGTAACTGAGAATATGTACCTTCTGTCTATCAGTTATGAATGTTGTACTATGGTAGGACCCTATAACATCAATCAATTCTCCCATAAACCACTCCCAAGAATCAACTATTGCAATTGCAACTGGAAAAATTTGGCTATTCCCATCATTTAACACTACACCCAATAGATGGCCACCATATGGCC